AATGCGAAGACTTAAAAGAAGCAATCGCAAGTAAAATTGACGAACTCACAATAGGCGGTGACATACATCCTAACTTCGACGGGGCGCCGTTTAAGCTCGGAGGATGTCTTGTATCCTGCCTAGACAACCATACGGTGGAATGGTTTAGAAGTATAACACCGAGCATCACAATTAAAGAAGGATTAACCCTACGAACTTGTGAAGCAGGTGATCTCACAAAAATCATCAGGATTGGAGCCTTCTTTCCAGGAAAGGCACTACCTGCTGATTATTATTTAACTCGGCTCCAGATTCAGAACCAATCCATTACTGGGATTAAAACCTGGACCGTGTTTAACTTCAAGGCTCTGGAAAGAGGATCTTTTGGAGTTTTCAACATACCGGAGACTAGCCTCCAGAGCCTAACGGAACATGGAATGCAGGCCTGCTGTGGGATATACGTTATCACCTTCAGGTTTCTAGCATCAGGAAGTAAACCTGCTCCCGAGGAGATGAAAGAGGAGGCGCCGAAAGCAGGTACATCAAAGGAGATGGAGAGCAAGGAATCTTCCTCTTCGGGAAGGAGTGCGTCGAGGACGGGGTCGAGGCCGTCGGCTGGGGCAGGAGGCGGGGCTAAGCCAAAGGAACCAGTGAAAACTGGTTGCAGAGGCGAACCCCAGCCACTGTCGCGGTCAGGTGGCCAGACCTCTGTCTCGCGGCACCCATCTAACACTGGTGGTGGTTTGAAAGCGAGGCCGAGAGGCGGGGAGAAACCCAAAGACAAAGTGAAAACTGAGTCGGAGGGAAGAACCCTACCATCGGCCCCGTCTGGAAAACCACCTTCCAGAACATAAAAAAAAAAACAATCAAAATATATGAAACTGCTGCAGATCAATATCCACCACTGCATTGCGGCATGTGGAGTGTTGCAACAGTACATAAAAGGTAACGATATTGATATTATATTAATTCTTGAACCTTACTTATATGAAGGCAGGATCAAAGGACTAAATATGCAGGGGTATGGAATAATATCTGCACCCACATATCCTAGAGCCTGCCTACTCTTTAAAAACAAACTAAAACTGCTGCCTCTATGGCAATTTTGTTCTAGAGATCTTGCAGCAGCCAAATATACCCAACAAGGATATAACAAATCACTAATCATAGCGGCGGTTTACCTGCCATATGAACATCCAGAGCCTGAAGAAGGAATGGATGAACTACTAAAGAGTAAGGAGGAAATTGTTGCTGCCCTGGATGCTAATGCACACAACGAGATCTGGGGAAGCACAAACACCAACTCTAGAGGTGAGAAACTCTTAGAGACTATTATTAAATATGATCTTGATATTCTGAACAGGGGGAATAAGCCTACCTTTTGTAACAGAATTAGGACTGAGATCATAGACATAACACTAGCGACTCAATTGACTAGTGACCTTATAGATAACTGGCATGTCTCTGATGAAGAAACATGCTCGGATCACAGATATATCAGATTTGATATATCTGATAGAATACAACATGATGTGGAATATAGAGACCCTAAGCGAACAAACTGGGTGTCCTATAGTTCTAACTTGGAGGAGGCTGTCAAATGCTGCCCCAAAGTTATCCACAATACATGGCAATTGGAAATATTAAATACTTCAATTACTGATGCTATGACTAGAGCATATTTGGCCAGTAATGAAGCTAAAAAAACTACAACCAACAGGAAAGTGTCCTGGTGGAATGATAGTCTAACAAAGCAAAGAGCACTCATGAGGAGATTGTTTAATGCTTCTAAAAAATCTGGCAATTGGGATACATACAGGAAATCTCTTACTGAGTATCACAAATCTGTCAGGAAAGCCAAAAGACAAGCCTGGAAAAGGTTTTGTCTGGAGGTGGATAACATGCCGGCGGTATGTAAGGTAAACAAAATACTGTCAAAACAAACCAATTCAGGTATAATGGGAACACTCAAATATGACGATAAGCACACCACGAATGAGATAGAAACATTGAGTGTGGTAGCAAAAGCTCATTTCCCAAATTGTTTTACGACAGTAAATGAACTTCTCGACCCCAATACACAGGATCGTGGTACTGGCGCACGTATGTGGGGTCAGGCAAGAAGAGTGATAACAAACAGTAGACTTGAATGGGCAGTGAATTCGTTCTCTCCTTTCAAGTCTGCTGGAATGGATGAGATCTTTCCAGCACTGCTGCAGAAGGGTCTCCCAGAAATAAGGCCATACCTTCTGGAACTTCTAAGAGGTAGCCTAGCACTGGGATATCTACCATGTAAGTGGAGGATATCCAAAGTGCGATACATTCCTAAACCAGGAAAGGAATCTTATGAAGATCCCAAGGCATTTAGGCCAATATGTCTGTCATCTTTCTTAATGAAGACATTGGAAAAGATACTGGACAGACATATTAGGGAACACATATTGGCTACTAGTCCAATACATTCAAAGCAATATGCCTACCAACCAGGAAAATCCTGTGAGGTGGCGCTTCACAACTTGGTAACAAGAATTGAGAAATCCTTAGAACAGAGTGAAATCATGATAGGCGTCTTCGTTGATATCGAGGGTGCCTTTGATAGAACTCCCTATAACATCATAAATGATGCGCTAAGGAAAAAAGATATAGACGCTATGACCTCCAGATGGATTGGGAGAATGCTGGAGGACAGAGTTCTAAAATCAGAAATAGGGCACAAGGAACTGTGGATTAAACCCTGTGGGGGATGTCCTCAGGGAGGTGTGCTCTCTCCATTACTGTGGTGTTTTGTGGCTGACTCATTATTGGAAGCCTTAAACACTGCAGGCATTTATGCTCAGGGATATGCTGACGATATTGCCATCCTCATAGGAGGGAGGCATCAGAGTGTCCTCTCTGATATCCTCAGTACAGTGTTCAATATTCTTAGGAATTGGTGCAGGATTAAAGGACTAAGCATCAACCCTAGGAAAATCAATGTGTGTATCTTCACCAAGAAGAAGAAGGTGGCTATTAAAATGCCGGAAATCAATGGTATACAAGTGACACTGAGTAAGGAAGTAAAGCACCTTGGAGTCACTTTGGACCATAAACTGACATGGACTAAACACGTTCAAAACGTGACAAGTAAAGCCCTCAAATGCCTATGGGCCTGTAAAAGAGCGATAGGAAAGAATTGGGGGCTAAAACCAAAAATGGTATACTGGCTGTACACAACAACAGTCAGACCTATCATACTTTACTCAGCTTTGCTATGGTGGCACAAAGCAAAGACTGTAGCCAATGTATCCTTATTAGGAAAGATCCAAAGGCTTGCTTGTATAATGATAACAGGCGCAATGAGCACGACACCGACGGCTGCTATGGAGGTGATGCTTGGCATGCCCCCGCTGCAGCTGGAGGTGGAGGCTCGGGCAACAGTTACACTGTACAGGATAAGCAAGTCAACTTACTGCTCAACAGTCCCCTGTCAGGGAGGACACACAACACTGCTGAACAGGATTGGAAGTGAAAGAGTGCTAGCTATGCACTCTGACACTCTAATCCGAGAACATCAGGACCGGAAATATAAGGTTGAGATAGATAGCAGCAGAATTCATAAACCAAATAGTGGAATAAATTGCTACACAGATGGCTCTCTAACAGCCTTCGGCTCTGGAGCAGGCATCTATCGCAAAGATATAAAAGAAAAAATTTCTATACCACTTGGCAGGTATGCTTCAGTGTTTCAATCCGAGATACTGGCAATCTGCCATTGTGTACAAAACCTACTGCAAACCAATGTGACTGAGAAAAGGATCACCATCTTTACTGACAGTCAGGCAGCAATAGGTGCTCTTGACAATTATTATGTTTATTCAAAGGTCGTTAAGGAATGCAATAGAGCACTTAACGAGCTAACTGAGCACAACAGAGTTGCAGTGGAGTGGGTGCCAGGCCATTCTGGCATACCGGGCAACGAAATGGCTGATGAGCAAGCCAGGTTGGGCTCAGATACTATTCCTATAACTCCCGAGCCTGTCTGTGGAATCAGCCTTAGTACTGCCAAGGGCAGGATCAGGGAGATCTATGGGAACAAATTTAGGAATTACTGGACCGACAAGAAACAGAGACACTCGAAGCTGTTCCTTAAAGGCCCATGTAAAAAAAGGAGTGAACAGCTACTGAACATGGACAGAGCAGCTCTCAAAAAACTCACAGCGATCTACACAGGTCACTGTAAGTTAAATAATCATATGTTCAATCTCCGAGTAATGACGAATCCGATATGCAGATTCTGTCAGGAGGAGAATGAAACAGCTTTTCACATCATATGCAGATGTGACAAGTTTATAAGGCTGAGACTGGCGTTATTTGGGGAGGAACAGATGGATCTCCCCAGTAGATTTGAGTCGGTTAACCCAACCAGCCTACTGAGATACGCGGAAGCGACAGGACTAACGTTTTGAATAAGACGACCTAGCGAATATTGGCGCACAATGGACCCAAAGGGGTCGACGTGCTTAAAGCCAAAAAAAAAAAAAAAAAAAAAAAAATATATAAATTATTTTAATTTTTGCCGACGTTTCGACCCACTTTGCAGGTCGTCTTCAGGGCGTAGGATGTGGCACTGCGGGAGGCAGTTGAAACACTGGCCATGAATAGGCCTCCCGCAGTGCCACATCCTACGCCCTGAAGACGACCCTAACTCCTTCTCATAAACATGAAAATGTTCGTATCAAAGAGGGATCTCTTTCATTTTCAGAAAATGGAGAAAAAGTCAATTTTTGTTTTATGGATTCAGTTCAAACTATTTCTGATGATTTTATTTAAGAATATTGAAGTTGAATCATGAAAAAAAATCATTATAATTTGTTTAAATTGAAGCTTAATTAATTAATTAATGTTACACAGAAATTTTTTCTCTCATCTTCTTAAAATTACAGATGCCTTTCTAATTTCTTTCTTATACATTTTTTCATACTGAACCACAGCAGCACGTGGCCGGGTAAAGCTAGTTAAATAAATAAAATATATAAAATCACCTCCTTTTGGCCAGCTCCGAGACAGCAAGATAGGTCTGATAGTTCTGATCGTAACAACCCGCAGCAGACTGGCGTGGATTGTCCAGAACAAAGAATCCCTCAGCGAATCTTTTAACCTGTTTTAATAGATCATCTTTTATTTCATAATATTAACCATCATTTTTTAAGTAGAACCTTAATTCTGTTGCAACAAGTATAATGATTTTCTTAAAAAAAAAAATAAATAAATAAATAAAATGAATACCCTGAGATGATGGTGGATAGCAGCTAAATGCTGGTTGATTGGTGGTTGACAGGAACAAAGCTCTAAGAACTGATGCCACAAAACAATGTTCTCAGCACATAGCTGAGCAATATCACTATTGGCAACTGTAGCAAATTCTTCTTCACCCTCCATCATCTATGCAACAGGTAAAAAATAACAATAATAAACCTAAGAAAGCCTCTAACATTAAAATATTACAAATTATCACCTACTAAGACTGAAGAATAGGCACTGGTTTACTAATATTAGGACAATGTAATATAAACTCATAAAAATGAAAAAAAATGTCTGTAAAAAGCTAATTAACAAAACTTATTGACTAAAACAAACTTATGATCAAAATAATATTTTAAACTAAGAAGTAGATTAAATAAAGCTTTAAATAAACAGATGAATAATAAAACATTGATGGTCGACCACATCATAATTCAAAGAGATGGTCCAGAAGTTAGTTTGATAAAACATCAGATAATTGGAAATTGTTTATTCAATGCTGATGAACATTGTACATCTTTATTAGAGCTAAACAGAAAGAAATGAAGAAGGCAAAATTATTTTAGTCATAAGTATTACTTATGTAATTATAAATGTGTAAAATTGGAAAGTATACCCCAAGTACTTTTATTGAGCTAAAGGTGGAAAAACAATAGTATCTGATATGATAATCGTTATTATTATCATATTATTTTTTTGGTAAATGGTTATATTAGATATTATTGTTTTTTCACCCTTATACTTTATACTTTCCAATTTAGTGCATTTATCATTTTCAGTAATTTTATATATCTTTTATACTCCCAAAATAGTTTCACTATCTTTGTATTGCTCTTGTTAGCCATGATGAACACCAATAATGTGGGTCGAAATATTGGAAGTGAGTCACTAATTAGCAATTATTTATATTGTATCTTTTTATAAGGTTCACCATTACTTAACATCATAGGCTCCGCATTATCTTTTCCAACACACATAACCTTGCTCTTAGACGGGTTTATATGCAGCCCTCGCAGCTTCAATTCTTCTTTCCACTCGACCAATGATGTCTGTAGAGCCCTTGGGGTTCTTCTTTTACACACTTTCCAAATTTCATCCATAAGAAGGATAAAAAGCAGAGGACTAAGACTATCCCCTTGCTTTACTCCTTTATAAAAGTGGAAAGGTTGTGATGTGTGTCCATTGAGCCTTATTACACCCTTTGGGTCTTGGTATATATACTGCGTTGGTATAACTTTGACTCTAAGTAACTTTAATATTTCATTCATTTTAGATAAGATTTACGAGGTACAACCAAACCTACTCTGTCCAGAATGGAAAAATCAAAGTTATTCCATGGGTCCACTACAAAATAAATTTCAACCCACCCAGGCTGGATTCGAACCAGTGCTGCTAGACTCGAGAATGTTAAAGGCTCAGTCATCACTACCTCTACCCCAAAATAAGCTATTTTATTAAATAAGTTTTTATTTCAAACGTTAAAATTCCAAAATCCACCTCGAGTATGTTGAAGCAGAACTGGATATCCCACCCACTCCAACTAACCCTTCCACCTAAATCATTCCATCCTTCAGAAATATCCAATATCATACACAGATCACCTTCCCCCAAAGCTCCTGGACACGACCTAACTACATCCCAGATCCTAAAACTGCTTCCTCTAAAGGCCATTCTATTCCTTACCTATATATATATAATGCCATACTCCGATCCACATATTTTCCTGACACTTGGAAACAATCAATTATTAAAATGATACATAAATCCAAAAAACCTCCAGAATACCCATCCTCTTACTGTCCTATCTCACTTTTACCCATCATGGGAAAAATTCTGGAAAAACTGATCTTAAAATGCCTGCATCCCATCCTAGATTCTAATCACATAATCCCAGATCACCAATTTGGATTCCGCACATCTCATTCCACTATCCAGCAATGTCATCGTGTGGTGGACGTAGTCTCCTCTGCATTGGAGCGCGGATTGTACTACACGGGAGTCTTTCTCGATGTTGAACAGACGTTTGATAGGGTCTGACACCCTGGACTGATGTACAAAATCCATAAATTCCTACCACCTACATACTTCCTCATTATCCGCTCCTACCTTACTGATAGATGCTTTAAAGTAAATCACAAAAACTCCTATTCATCCCTTTTTTCCCAGTCTGCTGGTGTTCCTCAAGGTAGTATCCTTGGTTCTATCCTTTACACAGTTTATACAGCTAACATCCCAACCCATCCTGACACTATCATCACCATATGCTGATGACGCATGTATCCTATCTGTTAATAATGATCCATCAACTGCATCCCAAACTCTCCAGTCACATATCACAAACCTTGAAGAATAGTGTAAAAACTGAAGAATTAAAATAAATCCCATCAAATTACCTTTACCCTGCGTCGCAAACCCATGACCTCCTGTTTTACAGTATCCTTTAATAATTCCCCACTTATCCCAGTTGAACAAATCTGTTACCAAGGAACCCACCTGGACAAACGACTCATATGGAATCCTTATACAAGACTGAAACGACAAGAAACCGCTCGACATTTCCGACTACACCAAGACTTACTAGACAAACGCTCTAAGCTTTCAATCAATTACAAACGACTCATATATATGACAATAATAAGACCTATTTGGACTTAGGGAGCTTTGGGGCTCCACTAAACCATCGAATTCCTCTCGTATCCAATCCTTACAATCCAAAATCCTTCATAAATCCTCAACATTCCTTACTTTGTCACAAATAAAATAATCCATAAAGACCTTAATGTTCCATATGTTTCCGATTTGGCCCAATTCAGATACCTATCCTTCCATAACAAACTCCAGAACCACCCAAACCCTCTCGTTTCAAACCTTGCTTCCTCCTCGATCCCTGATAACCCTCTGAGGCGTCTGAAAAGAAGATGGCCTCGTGATCTACTTATGTAAATATATTATTAGAGTGCTACCAATTGGTAGCTTCTCAACAAGCGTTTTCATGTGGTTGTATTATCACTGTGCAAATTTACTAGTTGTATTTTTTTTTATAATACAGTTGTAAATATCATGTTAATATTACAGTTAAATATCATGTTAAATTAATTACAGTTGTAAATATCATGTTAATATACAGTTGTAAATATTATGTTGAATAAAAAAAAAAAAGTTTAAATAAAAAATTATTCTTACCCTTAACCTCTCCCAATGGGCCTCAGAATGAAGAAAGGCCGTCCTCTGCTGAATGGCAGCAAGGAGAGTCCTATGGCTGTCCTAAAACAGAACGGTTTTACTCTAATTATAAAAATGAAGAATAGAAGAATGTAATAAGGTAATTAAGAATATCTATCTAATACAAACACAAATTTTACTTTCAGTTAAAACATAGTTATACATTTTTTAGAGATGGAAGATAAATAAAGCTTTATCGGTTAATGTTTCCTGTTATCCATTCACATAAATGTTATTACAAAGTAAAACATAACACAAAAAATTTAAATTAACATTTTCTTTTGAAAGCAAAAATCAATGAAAAGTAACTACAGTAATACATTTTAATTTTAAAAAATTTAAAATTAACATTTTCTTTTGAAAGCAAAAATCAATGAAAAGTAACTACAGTATTTTTTCCTTTTGTATATTTTCATGCTGAGATTCTTGGTCTCATTTACTTAACCCTCCCCTTCCCTCACTCATGGTGATAGTATTATTTCCTGCGTGGATTAAATCCAGGTACCACATAAGTACTCCCCACACTCTCTGTTGCATTTCGAGCTGGACAACCTGAAAGGCTATTTATTCTTGGACCACTACTTTTTCTTGGGCTACTTATCATTAATGAGTCCAACGGCTATGCCTGACACTTAACTTTCATCATTAACAGCCCATCAACCATCAGCTATACCCGTCTGGACTGGAGGAGACAGCATAGCTGAGCCAGAGGATAATGGCGCTTTAGACAGCGACTGGCAACGTCATATTGTGAGTTAGGATATTGCATGAGACCAGCCCCCTTTACTTTGTATTTGTTGTCTTTGCTTCATTAATAACCCATTAAAATTATTGACCAATCATGGATAAAGGTTTATTATAAGGTTTATATATTTATTGTTTCAATAAACATTTTGGAGGGTAAGAAAAAAAAAAAAAATTAAAAAAAACTATCACAAACACTGGCTCATTAAAAAATTGGGAGAGTTGCAGGCTACAAAGCAACATAATGGTTGGTAAGAAAGGATCAGGATAAGGATAAAATCACCATTCAACAAAATAATTTAATATTTTAAAATAATAAACTGATTTAAAAATACAAACAATGTAAAGAGATAAACGTTTTTTAAAATTTTATTTTGATTATGAATTCAGAGGGTTTGCGAGGTAAACATTGAATTCAAACTGAAAGTTAATGACAACATAAGATGAATTATTAAATCATGATTGAGATTCAATTAGAATATAACTTTCAAACTTTATAGAATACAATACAATACTGTAATAAACTAGTTACCTTGGCAATCCTGTCATGGTGAACGAGCCTCAAGTATTGATGAAGAGTTGAATACAGAGAGTCATAAGAGGCGACAAGGATATTGCAAACTTCGCGGTGCACGTGGCGAGCATGAGCCAATTTTCCTCCTCCTCCAACACATTTCCCACTGCTTCCGCTACCATTCTACAAAAAAAAAAAAAAAAATTAATTATTATCAATAAAAAATAAAAAAATAAACTAATTTGCATAATATCTAAATTAATCATTATTATAATTTTTGAAGATTAAATTTATTTTTTTGAAAATCAATTGAATTATTGGTTATGTTACATCATTTAATTATCTTGAATACCACACAAAAATATTTAATTCAATAATATACAGTTCATTAAACCACATACATAATCATTAAATTAATGAAGGAAGTTTGTCTAGTGTATATATATATATAATGTCGAGTATATATATATATATATTATATATATCATAGGCGATAAACAGTCAGGAGAAATGATATTCGGTATTTGAACACCTTCAGTGCTCCAAGCATGCCCTGATGACCCACATCCACATGCTTTGGTTGAAACATCGGCACCAATAAAAATCACTGTGTCCTGACTATTTATCACTTATGACATAAAATAATTCTTCTAATGTTTAAAGATAAGGACAAATATCAATTTTAAATTCAATTTAAGGTTAAAAAATTATATTTGTAATTTTATAGCATTAATATTATGATACACTCTTGTTTATTTCAGTATTAAATAAACCTATATAGCCAAGGTCTGTACCAAACTTAAATCTGAGGTGAATATCAAAGTCAAGAGGAACAGTAAATAATCAATCAAAAACAATTTGTATCACATCAGTAACCACTATGTTTATTTTACATCTCTTCACAAATAAAAATTACATTTTAATATATACTAATGTATAAAGGCGAAGAGTAGATTTGTTTGAACGTGCTTCAAGAACTCCCATTTCAATTTGTAAAATTATTTTAGCATTAGATAAGACAGATTATCGAGGAAGGCTTTAGGATACGACCCATAATAATAGAGAAGGGACCATAAACACAAATAAAACAGTATACTGTTCTATTTCAGAGAAAAATAACTAAAAATATTTTATATGCTGAAAAAATAATTTTATTTTTTAAATATTTTAAAACTTGCCTTGTTCACAAAAAACTTTTTTACTGTTGCCAATTTTACTAGTGATTGATACTTTTGTATTTTCCAAATATATTTCAGATATTATTGAGTTATCAGAAGAACTTGTTCATATAAGTAGAGCACAGCTAGTTTTTAATAAGTTTAGAAGCCATGATTACATAAACTCATTAAAAAAGTATAATCTCTACTCCACCAGAAAAAAAGAAAAAAAAAAAAAGAAATAGATAACACTTGAACAAGAGAACGCCTGAATAACAAGAGAACAAATGAATTTAAATATATTAATAAACAACAGTTCTTTTGTTCAGGGCAACATCAGTATTATTATTGTTTGTTCGAACTTTTATTTTAAATGCAATATTAAAATCTGAGATTTGTTTTGATTAATCCCCCTTTCACTGAATCGCTCACAACTAAGACCATAAGTGCATACTTATTACTTGAGTGAAAGTGAAAAGCTAAATCCCTGCTTTAAGGAATACTACACTATTAAAAACTGAGTACACTGAAATTTTGCACAATTGCTGATTGTTATTGCGAAATATCTTTGTTATGTTTGAGAACTCTATACTGATAAAAAATCTTACGAGGTTACTGAAGAAAACAGTCTCCATAGTCGACTGAGGCCTGAAGTTATACCTCTGAGAGGTACCCAGCCATGTTTTACCACTCCTTGGAGTACTGAAAAAATTGGGCAATCAGATAAGATAAGAAATGTGATTTTAAACAGTTGCACTTCATCTTAATTATTAGCATAAAAGATATTAATGGATTTCTGTAAATTAAAAATATAAAGATTCACATCTGGTGAGGTGACAACTTTACCATAATACATATTAAACGATAATCCAAAACAAATCAAAATGACAGTAAATGCAATTAAATAGTTACATGCATCTGGGAGAAGGGAAAAAACAAAACAAAAACTAAATCAATCAGGTTGCTGGGTTCAATAAATTATTTTAGAAAATCTACCCTATAACATTGTAAAAATCGATGAAGATATTAAAAAACAATATTTCTTTTCCAGAGTTGCTGAAACTGAACAAATACAGTTGGAAAGTCGGATTATAGAACTAGAAACCCAATTACATCTAAATTAAAAACAAGATGAAGTCAAACTACATCAAACCAAAAATAAATTTGTGTTAGAAAATCAAATCCTGAAGAATGGTTAAGTAGATTTATTGAAAGAAGTTAGTGTACTGTTCTACATCATAGATGATAAAAAGTCAGGACGCAGTCATTTTAAGATTTTTATTGTTGTTGCCAACGTTTCAATCCAAGAATGTGAGTCATAATCAGAGCATATTTCCAATAATGAAGGTGTTCAAGTACTCAAGTTCAGTAATTAAATACCTTCAGTACTAGAAACAGGTCCTGATGAGGACTCACATTCATGGGTTGAAATGCTGGCAACAACAATGGATTTTTTTTTTTAGATTTTTACTTTCTTTATTGAATATTAATACATTCTGCCACATTGAAGGGCATTAATATTAAGGCTACATGATTCATTCACACAATATGTACATACAATTAATATCAATAATAAAGAAAAAGAAATATAAAAAAAAAATAAAATAAGTAAATTGGTATGCCTGTGTACAAAAAAAAATAATGAAATAATAGATGAAATTAAAGTAAATAAATCACATTCACACCTATGTACAATATTTACATTCACCCAGGGGACTCTGAGTCATGCCTTATTCCCCGACGTGGAAGCCAAGGCAGGACTCCAGGAGATCCCAGTGCTTCTCTCTCAGCCGCGTCACTGTTATATGAAACCAGTGGAAACTGATGGAGGGCACTATGCAACAGACGCTCATGTCTTGAGTGGAGAATCTGGCCAATGCCAGTACTCCAATATATACATATTTACAAAAGGTCGCGGGGCCACTGCCGTTTTAACCTCCGGGGAGGATTGTAGGGATGACTGGAGCTAGATAGGGATTATGCTACAGGATTTGGATGATGAGTGAGTTTCTGGTGAAATTTGGAAAAAATTTCTGGAATTAGGTCAATAACAAATGGGATATGAAGGTCATTATGGAGGGTTTTGTTGGATACATAGAAGGGAGCATCGGCTATTGTTCAGAGGATTTTAGACTGGAAGGATTGAATGCGTTTGATGTTAGAAAGTTTTACTGTCCCCCACAGTTCTATTCCGTAGGTCCAAATAGGTTTCAGGATTGTCTTGTAGATTAATAGTTTGTTGTCGTCTGAAAGTTGAGATTTTCTATTCAATAGTTGTCCGTATTGTCTGTTAAGTTGTTGTCTTTTAAGTCCGGTGTGTGGGTTCCATGTTAGTCTTTTGTCTAGAATAAAGCCAAGATACCGGACTGTGTTACAGATACAGAGGAAGTGGTATGGAGTTGAAGTAGACTGGTGGACAGGAATTGCGTCGAAGGGTAAAAGTAATATGTTTGGATTTGGATTAATTTACTTGGATTCACCACTTATTACATCAGTGTTCAATAAGAGAGAGGTGACTTTGTAGATTTAAGGATGCTATTTCAGGGTCTGGATTGGAAGATAAGAAGGCTGTGTCATCAGCGAATGGGCAACAATAAAAATCTTAAAATGACTGCGTCCTGATTATTCATCACCTATGTTCAGTAGATTTGAAGAAGAGTATAGTCGTTTCCAGATAAATTTTGAAAGTGGTAAAATTCAGGCTTTGCGTTTTTTTGTCTCCGACCAACAAAAGATTGGTTTAAAATAAATCTGAAAAAAAAAGATATAAATGGTCATTGGAAAAGTTGAACAAAGTCATTTTTGAACATTTTTTGTTGATAAGGGTTGGAAAGTTGTTAGGAAAGCTTTCAACTACAAATATTTGAGTAGGTCTTTAATTGATTATGCTCTAATAAAGGAAAGGTTAGGTGTTAAAGTAGAACCTTAGGGTATTGAATTACTGCGTATCAACCAGATTGTTATTGGATTGCCGAAAGAAGCTCATGAAGAACCTGATAGAGAAAACTTAACTGCACTGGAAGAGTTACATGTTGAACTTTGAAAACTAGAAGACTCTTTTTCTAGAAAAAAGAAGAAAAATTCCTCCAGTCTTAGGTTTAACAAAATTTCTGGTTCAAAGCCTTTTAAGAGAGATGAATTTCAATCAAAGAATGATATTCAATGAAAGTCATGTTCAATTTATGTAGCTTTTGATTTTTCAAATCGTCACTATCTCATAATGGAGTGCCAAAATCGAAATAAAGTCTCAGAAAAACTGAAAATCGAAATAAAGTCTCAGAAAAACTGAAGTCGAACATAACTGAAAGGTCTCCAGTGATTGACGACTTAGAAATATTAAAAGTTAATCTGGACAACAAACATTTAAACTAAAAAAACGGGCGAAATTAGATCTATTGATAAAATTAATAAGATCAATGTGGCCATAATGCTCATTAATAAGCTGAATGATTTGGTTTCCTGATTTTGGAGAAACAAATACTCTCAGTACATATTTTAGCTTTTTAACTACCACTCCTTGCTTATAGTCAGTCCATTTTTCTATTTTTAAAAACGGAAGATGTTCAGCTTGGACTTTTAAAATCTAAGGTAAAATATGAAAACAGGAATCCGTTCAAGGAAGATGAAAACAGAAGCTGAAAGAAGAAGACTGAGAAAAAAAACTTGATTTGTAACAAAATGTGGAATGTTCATGATCAAAGTTCTTCCATTTAGTTTGAAAAATGCTTCTGCTATGTTCCAGAGAATGTTGTCTAACATTACTTAAAGAAACGGTTTGGTCGAATTATGCATAAATTACATCAATGATATTTTGATATTCTCTCGAACCTGAGATCATCTTCAACACATCGACACATTTTTACAGATGATGAACGCTGAAGAATTCAAACTAAAACTAGTAGTGTCTATTTGCTGCTAAGCCTGTGAAGTATCTAGGACACAAAATTTCAAAAAAATCGGATTTCACCAGCCCAAGAAAACTTAGTCTCTATTCAAAACCTACAAATCTGATGATACCATCCTCTGACCATTCCTACCTGACCAGCCTCCTCCAGTCACTCAGCCTTCATACAGTACCTTACACCCTACCCATCATACCCAATGCTCAGAGTCCAGGTTTGATCTGTTTGTCTTGGCTTCCCTGGATAGGATAAGCTCTTCGCAGTGTCTTCATGCAGTACCTTACAACCCTACCAATCATACCCAGTTCTCAGAGTCCTGGTTTGATCTGTTTGTCTTGGATTTCCTGGATAGGATAAGCTCTTCGCAGCGTCTTCATGCAGTACCTTACAACCCTACCAATCATACCCAGTTCTCAGAGTCCTGGTTTGATCTGTTTGTCTTGGATTCCCTGGATAAGCTCCTCGCAGCGTCTCAGCACCCGGTTCCGTTTCTGTCTTCCCATGATCTTATCCAGATTTCCTACAATATCCCGGTCCCATTTTTTTCTCCTCAACCATATCCTTATTATTAACCACTTATTTTAAAGATTAAAAACCCCATGCCAGAAATACGAATAATTTTTATTGATACTTCAATATATTTTAAGACTATCGATATTACATGTTCATCATGCCTATCATGCCAGGAGCGGATGGAGATTAGAAGATCGAAAAAAAAAATTAAGAAATATATACCCATATTTTTCTTAGATATTTAAATCCCTAATAACCACACAATTGTTTTTATATATCAAATTACGATTCTGATACATCTGATAACTATCAATACAGTATACATCAATATTAACATCCCTATTCTCCATATATTTACCATTACAGAACTCAATATACTGACTTTTCCCAATTCTGATATAAGAAGCTAATTTAATATTAGTTCATGATAATAATAAAATATAGAATGTGAAATATTTTATGCAAGAACATCAATAAGATAAGAGTTATCTCGTAGTAGGCTGTGAACTTGTAAAAACCGAAATGAACTAAAGCTAAACAACTTCCTAGTACTTTTTGCTAGCTTAGCCCAATACAATACTTCACAAGCCCATAATTTGTGCTTTCATAAGATTGACCAATTTTAATTTTTTTAAGAGATGGGATGTAACAGCGTGTTATTATTATAAGAATGAAAAATAATCAAGAAATGCAGTCATTAATGGTGTTTATTAACTTTGCCGACGTTTTTACCCAAGCCTGTGGATCATCAGGGCTAAAAATTAATAAAAAAAAAAAAATGATATATATAAAAGTATGCAAATCTGAGAAGAAGAAAATTGAACGTATACATGAGATAATGGTAATAGAAACATAACAGTTATTTTATGATTTTTTTTACTCACATGCTAAGGTCAAAATGTCAGAAAGTTTAATCAATACCATTAAAGACCGCATTTCCTGATTATTTTCATCCTTTCAACTCCAATTTTTAAAAAATTTATTTCTGCAGTTCAACAGAATAATCTATAACATTTTAATATCTTTGTTCAAGGTTACAAAATCAAAAAATTTAAAGATTCGCATTAAATGTCAAGAAAAGTTTTCTAGCATATCTGATATTATTGCAAAAGTTTTAGCTTAAAATTTTTTAGAAACAATATGATAGCGGCAACATTTGAATTAATCAGGCCAGGTTGCTTACAAGGAATCATCTTAATCCATTGAAATAACAAGAAAATGCTTATTTTTTGTGACTGAGAATTCAATAAACAAATCCTTAAACTAAATTAAACTCGGAAATATGTTTTTATCTGAACAAAATAAGGCGAATGCATGCTCATTCAGGGCGAATGCTCAAGTGTATACGTGGCTTAATAATATTCACAATTAGTTTTTAAGAGGTTCTGCAGTAAAAGGTTTGTGCTATAAAAGTGATATATAACAATCAACTTGAGTTGTTAACTTTGAAAACTCTTATTTCGTGAGGAAAATTATATTTTATTTTCAAATGAATAAAATAAATTATAAACAATGAATGCAAGACAATTCGTGAATCTGTGCCATGTCCACACTCGGATAAATATAACAAGGTGATAAATTTGGGATATATACACGTATTGTGCATACACAGGACATATAAACTTCCTATAACGAATTGTGTAAATATAGTGCATGCTGATGAAAGTCAGTGCTCATGAATATACTTGTTGACTTACTACAGGCTACCTATCAACCATTTTAGCTTTTGATAGGTCAATGTTTCTTAATAATTTTACTAATGAGGTAAAGGAAGAAAACTTTTGTTATTACTGCCTCGTGAATATGAATGAATGAAATACATTCTGAATCAGAATTTAAAGTCTCTCTGAAAAAAAATTACAACATTACAAGTTCCATGTTTTGATAGGAGGGAAACAATTTAAGTAAATACAGCAACAATTATTGTCATAACATGTGCAATGATTGATGTGTACATGAACCTAACATCATAAGACGTATCATCAGGAATATTAAACTAATATAGAAATGAAAAATGATGAATTGTAAGTAAAGTAAACAAACACTAAAGAAAAATTCAATTTCTAACACAAATTTAAAAGAATAAATATCAAAACCTAGATTAACTAGGATGAGGAAGGGAAATAGAACAAATAAATATTAAGTAGAAAAAAATACATAATTAAATCTCCAAACAAACAATTATAACATAACTTTAATGGGAAGTCTCTTGTGCCAGCAGTAAATAACACACAATAAATAAAAAGTATTTGAAATTCAAACTATTGAAAATAGTATAAATACTATCATTGGTTACAATTAAATAAATTAACTATATGCTATAGTCTTTTTATACGATAAAAGGTTAAGGTCCCATGGTTTACCAGCATATCTTATGGTTACTAATAAATAATAACCTTTTAATATTCAAAATATTGGTTTAAGAAATGACCAAAATTTAGATTAATTTTATGGAATAATAGAATAATGAGAGCTACTAAACAACCATTTAGAGTAGTGTTATGACTAAAGTTGTTTAACAAAATGAAACCATATTTAGAAACAAATAAAAAAAAAAAATTATTTATTAATAGAATAAGTCATGTGAATATTGTGGTCTATTTGAAATTACAATGTGATTTGATTATATTAAAATTTAAATAAGAATTTCAGTAAAAATGAACAACTATAATAAAGTTGTTTATCAATAAGATTTTTATAGATTTAAATAAATATAAAAGTATTTCCCTTTTCTTTTTTAACTTTAATGCTTGCTATTCAAACTAGATAAAATTACTAAATTAAAAAAAAAATACCAGCATAATGAGGGATTAATATTAGTTAACCTTTAATAAATTTTAATTCAAAAATAAACTTACCAACTCTGAACAAGGTTCAATATGCTTTTCCTAAGGAGTAGCCAAACAGAGGCAAATGTTAGAAATGTTACTTTATAGAAAAAATTATAATAAATTTAAATTAAATAATAAACAGCAAATATTATTTCCAAAAACTTAACCTTTAATAATGAAAAAAAGGAGAAAACAAACAAACTATCTAAATAAATCGGATTCAATAACATGGTATATATTTATCCAGAATTGATAAATGTTAACTGTCCAACTGTCCTACAAATCAACAATAAGATTTAAGTATATATTTACAAACTGCCTTTTTTATAAATATGGAAAACACAATTAAAATTTTAAAATTAAGAATTTGGGTATTAAAATTCCTTATTAATTAGAATGTGTATATTCTAACCATATATTTGAACCAAAAAATAAATAAACAGGCCCTCTCTGGTATTAAAAGTTTTATTAATCATTTTAATTGAACGATGACAAAAAGTTAAAACTAAGAAGTAAAGCAGCATAGATTATACCTGAAACTGGAAAACAGAACTGATAGTGTAGATAATACATATTTCAAATCCAAAAATTTATATAAATACATAATGTGCTTCTAATAAACAAGCAAGTGTTTTTCAATGAACTTATGACCACATTCAACCCGAAATTCTTGAAAATAATTATGACCATAATAATTAACAGAAACGGTAACAAGGCCAAACTGACAGATCCCTGCCATGTTTGTGAAGATGGTGTAATGAGATGAATGGTGGTCCACCCATCTTAATCAATTACGAAACTAAACACTGTCCGGTATAAAAAATATATATATATATATATATATATATAAATCTAGCACAGTAACTTAATATAATAAAACGAACCATTTTAGAAAGCTTTGAAAACATCAAGTTTTTTCATATCATAACACACTTGAGTAAGATTTAACAAATTAATGAATATATTCAGGAAAAAAATGGCAGTATGAGAAAATGAAGCAAAGTAAAAATGAATGTTTAAATTTTCTTTTAAAAAAAAATATTTAATTTTGTTTCCTAATTCTTTTACTTTTTAAAACCGTACGAGTTTAATTTTTCATACCTCACAAAGTCAAGGTTCTAAAATTAAGGAAATATATACATTGCTTATATCTAGTTTTGCCAAAGATTTCACATAACTACTGTAAGCAGACTTCAGCAATCACAGGCATCGGGCCAATTAACTGTATAAGAATAAAATTTAAAAAATATATAAAATTGAATGTGATACATAAGTAATACAAGAATGGTATAGATTATTTAATGAGGTAATAATAAAATAGTGATTTCAAACTTAGTGTACTCTTAAGTGTACATATAAAAACTTTTCTAAAGAAATAAATATGCATACTACAATACAAAAATATAACATTAGTGTAACACATAAATTATACTACATATAAATGATTTTAAATAAGCACAGAGTTTAAGATTCAAAATTAAGCAATTATTTAAGACTACTATTTAAATTCATTTAATATAATAAATTCTAAAATATTTTAACACTGTGGAAACTACTGTAGTTAATAGGCTGCATTTTTTAATTAATGGCAATGATCCCCACAAAGATATTATTTTAAAGTAACAACAAATCTATTTATTGTTACACAAAGTTAACAGCACGGTCAATAGTTATATTTGATGCATATAGTAAAATAAATTTAATTTTTGTTGATATACACATAGTAATCAGAAATCATGGAAGTTGCAAATGAATAAATATATTAATAAACTTTCTGAAAACAACAATTATAGTCATTAAAATCGAAAACTGATTTAAGTATAACTGATAAGAAAATCAACAACTGTTGTCTTTAACAAACGCGTACATGTTCCCTCGACTCTCAGCTGACTCAAGTTATGATTTCATTCAATTATTTCTACCTCTTTCCTATTTAAACAACTGAATTAAATTTAAAATTTTAAATCACAAGGGGAGGGAGGGAGGGAGAGGGAGAGGGAGAGAGAAGGAAGAAATTTTAATATTAAATCTTAAAAATAGTATAAATTTTTTAAAAATTGTTCACAAAGACAGATTGTGTCAAATTAAGCTGAGATGTTCAGACAAATTAGTTTTGAAACAATGAAAATATAGAAAAATATAAACATTTTTTTATTTTACCATTGATTGCATATCAAAACAATTTTGTTTAAAGAAAATTTTTAATGGGAGTTAAAAATGAAGCATTTTAGAAATTATGGCATTGATGATTAGGTTTAAAAACCAATTAGAGCATTTATCATCCTTTAGATCTCTTCAGTAATTGAAGAATAAACATTTATGACACATAAACTGGATGATAATTGCAAAAACTAAAATCATTATCAAATGAAGCACACTTAATGAAATAGATTTATAGCAGAATTCTACTGCTATTATATAGTACATATTTAAAATTAATTATATTATATAGCTCTATAAAAATTGAATTTCTGGTTCATAAATGCAACAAATGACAAAATCAGGACAACCAGATCAGAACACAAGTACCGAGAGAGCAGGTATAAAAATAGTTCACCAAATGAAATAGTAGCTCTCTTATCATCTTTATCTTCATTACAACAGAATAATTTTGAGTTGAGAATATTAATAGAATTAATAATAATAATAAATATTAACAAACATTAAAAAAAAAAATATTATTTAAAGGAAAATAGAGCTCACTTGATGTAAGGTTGATGGAGAGCAACAAGGCTAGCATGTATCGTAATAGTAACTGCTGAAAGATGAAAATAATCAAAGAGGACGGGAAGGTGATAGTGAAGGCCTTTTGGTGCTGAGAAACTAAGCTGAAGATTGCGAACTGAGACACAGCTTATGTTCGTCTGCTGGTCCGTCATAAGGGCCTGGTCAGTGAACCATAGTTCCAAATTAATGTTGAAGTCGGCCCTCTCAAGACTTTCTTCTATCTAAATAGAAAGTATAAATATATATATATATATATATATATATATATATATATATATATATATATATATGTGTGTGTTTTAGTGCACTATTGAATAAAGGATTCAAACCTGCAACTTAATATTTTCCTTACTGTTACAATCTCAATACTAATAGAGTAATAAGAATCATACATATTTATGAAAATCAGTTCAATTATATAAAGTTGATTACGAACAACTAATTTTGCATCTAATTTTTTTTTAGTGAACGTTCTATTTCAACACATAACTTCTAAATAAAATTAAGAACATAATCATAATTGTCCAAAGTGACTTAGAATTTGAATAGCCATTTACCTTATGACTATCTACAAGTATATGGACCCTGAATAGCACAGTATCATCCAAAGATACTTCTTCATTACGATATAATATCTGGAATGTTCGACTAACACCAACTCCATTCAAAATGCAAGCTGGAAAACCTAGCTCATTTTCACCTATCAAATTGAAAAAAAAAATTAACACAAATTAATGAACTTTAATTAACTAATAATGGATTTAGTTAAGCAATACAAAAAGAAGAAACACAATATTAATACCTGATAAATTTTTGGTTTGGGTGGTGGGGATGGAGGCTTCAATTTTGACAGGTAATTTAGGGGATACTTTGAGGGCAGCTCTTATTTGGTAAAACCTAAAAACATAAATTGATAATCATACACAAAAAGTTTTGCTAATGCATTTAATGGTAATTAGCCTCACCCTCTTTGAAATAAGTCAACATTATAAAATTTGCAGAGCTCAACAGAGAACTCTACTGTTGCCTGCAGTTCGCTCATTGCAAAGCCATACCATTCCTTTTTTTCATCCTGCAATGATAATAGACCACTATAATAAAATAAAATTTTCTAGGTTCAACGAAGGGAAAAAATAAATTAACCTATTAATTGGATGAAGTCTTTCTGTTCAGGGTTAAAAAAAAAGGCAGAATGATAAGCCATCATTTAATCATAATGGTATTTATTTTAAAAATACGCTACTTAAGAAACTTGAATAATTATAGTGAATTTAACGTTATCACTTTGACCCCATGGCATAGTAATAAGTATTGATTTTCATTGAGAGACCTTCAGCTTTTGAAGGAAAATATTGAATACAAAATTCATCGCAAAGAAACTGTAGTTTTTTGGACGCAATTTGCTCATTCTGAAAAGGCAAAACTACAAGAATTGCAAGGTAAACACAGGCAATGAGAATTAGAGCTAGATTGACAGAGCTACAGGGAAAACTAGACTAGAGCTTCCTGTCGGCGCGAATCAAAACGTTACCCATAGAGATTGAAATCGCTACGGGAGAAAGAAAGTTCAACTTGTATATATCTATTGTTCCGGTCAACAATAATTCTTAGAAACATTGATTGCAATAACATCAATAATTTTAATATTCGTTTCGGGAGGGCGAGGCAGGATTTATTATCGTTCTATTATTTGTTTGGCTTAATTTCTAAAATAATATTCAGGAAAACCATCCTTATGCATTTGCTAAACTTACCTTGCCTTTATTACATAATGACTGTAGTAATTTCTTCCATTTTTTCGACATTCCAAGGTTTCACTTTGAAAAGGTCATGTCAACTGAACAAGAATCCATTGGGAGGCATTGTAATTTTTTTAATTATGAATATTTTTTATTGGAATTCATAAAAAGTTATGTTTCAAATGAATTTCAACGTGATTTCAAGTTATGCTTATGATTTTAACCGTATAAAGCGAATATTACTTACGATAAGACAACAAAATATATAAAAAATCATTTTTTTATCAGTTTATTCACGTTTGTGTTTAAAATTTAATATGTTACACTCCTGTATTCATTACTAATGATGTTATGTTACCAAGCAACCGTATCAAGACGGGCAGAAGGGCACATTTCGTCGGGGTTATGAATTTTCGAAGTGGACAGTTTCAAACCAGGCACTAGCGGATCCAGGATTTAATTTTTGGGGGGGGAGGCTTCAGCCCGAACGATTTTTTTTCATATATATATATATAACAATAATTAATTTGAAAAAAAAAAAGAAAAAAATTAACCACCTATATGAAATATTGTGTAAGTGGTTCTTGAAGTCCTATTAAATGTTATTACACGAAGAAGAATACTTTAAGAGCTAGTTTTTAATATTTTTTTCTGTAAAACATGGTTATATTCAACAATTTTGGGGTGGGAGGGCTTCAGCCCGAAAGCTCCTTCTCCCCCTCCCCCATAGATCCACAACCAGGGAAAAGCATGGATTAGACCACAGCAAGTGACATTATATATGATCTATGCTTTTTCTAATTCTATTTTTGTTTGCATTTTTTTTTTTTTTTTTTTATATAAGATGAATAAATAAAAATTTCTTGAGAGGGGCGAGGCACACTTTACTGGGGGATGGGCATCTCGTGTGTTAAACCACATGTTCAGTCACCTTTTATTCGATTATTAGGGGGCTCAACCGACTTGGCATGTGTGGCTACCTCGAAATAAATATCTACTGTCCCAAACGAGTTTGAATATACAGCATTACAATAAAAATAATGCTAAATACTGCTGATAGAACAGGAAAGAAAAATAACCTCTAAGTTCTTTCTTTCTACTTTAAAACTAGGTTGTCAACCAAATGTAGAAAATGTTATATGGAGATTGACAAAGGTGCGGATAAAACACATAAAAAAAAAAATTGGAAATAAGTTTGGGAAACGCCTCAGTTGGGAAATACCTCTAACTTTCAGTGGTCTACCAAGACTATTTGAGACCGAGACGGATTTATTTTTTAATAAAAATAATAACGTGATCTAATTAAAATATTTAAAAAATAGAAGTATTCAATTTTTAAAAAAAATCTATGGTAGGGGCTCCCTCTCTCTTAGTGAGCCACTTTTGATTCTATCTTTCTCCCTCATCCTCAAACTCTCTTCCTCTCTCTATACGTATATATATTAGTGCGAAATCACCATACGAGCGTAACATCCCCGTCATTATTGTTTTTATCCATTTATTTTTCTTGTTTTCTTTTTCAAATAATATTTTTAATTTGCCAATTCTTAATTTTTTTTTTAATCAATTACTTATTATATTGTTAGTTTCCTGTGACCACCGTATATGTATTCAAAATTTAGTAGTGAATTGAAGGAGGGGAGGGTTGGGGTTAAATTACAGCTTCCTTCCCTAAAAAACAAAAATAAATTTCTATTTTAAATAGTACACGGAATAAAGAAATTAAATTAAGAGAGTGACATATTAACTCTTAAGGATGGGTTAAAAATTATATTTAAAAGAAATTATAGCTATTACCTCTCAATATTATTATTTAGGATATTTTTAAAATATTCAAGGATGAGATTAATTTTTTTAGGGAGGTGCTTTAGTACAATTCTCAATGGGAATTAGGAAACATACTTAGCAAGTTCTAAAATAAGATTTCATGTTTTTATAATTAATAGTAAACAATTGTATAAGAAAATCTTGATGATTCATCTTCCAAGATTTGGTGTTTTGAAAAAACCTTCTCTTCCCGCTTTATGAGACAGCTGTTGATCATGCCTGTTCAGGACTCATTGTTTATTTCTTTGTTAGCCTTAAGTTAACGTGTTCTTTTGCTTGTGGATTTAAATTTTTAAAGGTCGCTGAATCATTGATTATACCTCATATCTGAGGAACAAGGTACAATTTCATTTGCTTACTGTGATTTTAATTTATTTAAAATTGTTTTGATTAGACCTGTTTTAAATATAGAGATTCGTGTTACTTATTTTAAATTAGATTATTTATAATTTAATTATTTTAAAGAACAAAATTTTAGTAATAACAATAAAAATACAACTGATATTTAAACCTTCACCCAGATGTAATGTTGTCATGGTGACATTTAAGTTTGGATCTCTCTAGTCCTTCAATGTCATTTATAATAACTTATAAATCAATTTGTTTCTTCCTCCTGTAATTAGTTTATTTAATTCCTGACAATTACAATTTGAAAATGACTACTGATACTTTGCCTGAAAAAACACCAACTCAGAAAAAAAAGAAAACACTTCTTGAAAAATATGAGATACCTATTAGTCATCTTGAATTTGATTATGTTAAAAAGTGTTGTAACATTTTAGAAATTGAGAGGATCTTAAGAATTTTAAGGTATGTTTTAGTGGCTTTTCAAAATTTTTGGAACTGAGTTATGTCATTTAAATTTATTTCAGTTAAATCTTTTGCAGGGGATTTCAGTTTATTTTTATGTTTAGGTGATTACTGTTTTTATGTATGTGGCCTCACTTTTCAAAATATTTTAAAATCTAAATTGAAAATATTGTAGGTCTGGTGAAGAAGGTCACTATCCAGAACTCCTTAAGTGTGTCGAAGACCGGTTAAAATTTTTATGTCCAGACCACAAATCATTGAGGACGTGTGAACCTGTTATGACCAAATCTTGTTTGAATGCTGAAGAATGGAATTCTGTTCATAAAGAAATCATGGTAATTTTTCTATTGATTATATAATTTATATTATTTGTTTGAAATAATAAAACTTCAAACATTAAAATATACCACAGTATATCAATAAGTGGTTTGTTTACAACGGTATCGATGGATAAGGTAACCTAAATCTGTCTGATATTTCATTTATGATACCCAATTAATATTTCACCTATATAAACTGATATTTTTAACCAAGATAACATCACCATGCTTAGATAAATGTCAGTTAATTTTGCAAAATGTCCAATTTCAAATTTTAGAAAAAGTATCAAGTTTTTCAGCCTAATACAGTCTTATAACAAAAATATATGAAAAAAATATTGGTTGATTTAACTAATGTACTTCTTTATGCAGCTGTACAGTTTCCCTCCCTCCCCTCTGATATTTTGATTACTGGATTGTAATAGAACTAATAAACTTTGGAATTTTAGGACGAAATTTCAAATTGGACAATTTGCAATACTGATTATATTTATCTTAGCACACCAGAGGAGTAAATTCTACTTAAGCTGTAAGTATTGTTGGAATGTTCTAGGAACTTAACCTATTTCTTTAAATAATAATTTATAGGGTACTAGTTCACATGAGATCCGCACAGATTGGGCGTGGTTCACAATCACTTCGTATTCCCATCATGGAACTTCCTTATTAACAATTTTTTAACGTATTATGTATTTACTAATTGTTAATTATTAATTTTTATTATAACAGTTACTAAGCTGAAATAAAAAGAAAATATATATATATAAAATGATATTTGAGTCGCCCTTCAAGGCCTGTTAAAAAAAAATGCTTTTAGAAATAAAAATAGAATAGTGGCTGTAAATTCGCATTATACTGTTGTATATTATTTTTTATATCTGTGTATAAAAATTTGTTTTATCATTTGGATAATAAATAATCAGAAGTTATTTATTATCTATCTGATTTGAAATTGTTCATCAAACTTTAGTAGTTTTTTGTATTTCTTAGATATAAGAGTCCACTATTAATTTGTCAAGGACACATTTTATGGAAATAATGTCAGATTAAAGATTGCTCGAGAAAAGGGGATAATATTAATAAATAAAATGTAACTATAAATCATTATATATAGATAAATATTTATTCCAATAATATCCAAGCCCAATGGGATCCATAGATCTCCAAATTAGTTGGACTATACTGTTAGCTTAAAATTTATTTTCTCATTTTAATCTCTGTTATATTTACTAAATGAATTAGCTGCGTAATTATTGTTATTCGTAGTTATTTTGCTTAGTAATCTGAAAATGGAGACTTAATGTAGTCATGCGTAAAGAAAAAGAAAAATATCGTGTTTATTTTCGTGGAAGGAATTAACGGAATTATTATTGGGAAAACAACTGATGAAGAATATCTCATAATTCTGAAATAATGAATAATGGAAATCATCAATAATAATCGTGAAATAGCATTCAGAGATATAATAATCAAAAGTTTTTATCTATTACTATTTCTTTACCATACCATGAAAAGTATGTATAACATACAAGTAAAAGATTGATTAAGATTTCATGATGTAGTATATAAGTATATACAATTTAAATTACCTCTAAGAATCATAGTGATGTAGAGATGGTTGACCGTTAATATAATATGAGAAGGAGTTAGTCGAGGGTGCGGTCAAACAAATAAAAAAATTAAAATATATAAACTATTTTAATTTTTGCCGACGTTTCGACCCACTTTGCAGGTCGTCTTCAGGGCTGCAAAAGATACAAACATGTTGAAAAAATAAAAAATAAATATAAGTATATATAAAATACGAAGAAGTTGTCAGATACAGAAATAAAAGATAAAGAAAATAAATACATGATAAGAAAATAGATAAAAGAAAATAAATACATGAATGTTAAAGAATAAATGAATGTTAACGAATAAATAGATTGAAAATTGAATAACTATTGTTACAGTAAAGTTAAATTTTAATTTTTTTATTTATTTGACTGCACCCTCGACTAACTCCTTCTCATACCTCTAAGAATCAGTAAATATACAAAACAAAGTGTTAAATTGCAAACGTTAAATAAAAAATTCAAGATATTCAGCAAAGTATTTTTGAATTAGCTTTTATTATAATAATTATATCATTTTTACAATAGAGGCCTTCTTAAATGACCTCCGTATAGAATAGAGGAAGTTAAAAAATAAAATTAAATTAAAAATTAAAAAAAATAATTTATAATTTTTTTTGACAATTAAATTATTGCATTAATATTTGTTTGTTAATACAATCAATATAACGTACCAAAAAACGTTATTATAGCACTATAGCTAAGGAATTATTGGAGGAAGATAGTTGACTGTTCTACATATCATGGCTGATAAATATTCAGAACCCAGTCATTGTAAAGATTTTTTATTTGTGCTTACGTTTCAACCCAAACATGTGGGTCATCATCAGAGCATGATTCGAGCACTGAAGGCTTTCAATTTTAAGTACTGGGTAGAGTACTTGAATACACAATTTAAGAGTAATATAATAGGATGTGTAATATAATAGAATAAGAGGACTTAAAAGCCTTCAGTGCTCGAACCACGCCCTGATGATGACCCACATGTTTGGGTTGAAACGTCGGCACAAATAAAAAATGTTTATAATGACTGCGTACTAAATAGTGTGGTAGAGGCCTGTAGGTACCTTCATCAGTTCCGATTTTCTGCCTTTCAAATGCATTTTTTATGGAACCGCTTCAAATATTTTAAAAAGTAATCAGTGTTTTAGAAAGAGAAACAGATGTTTTATTTCAGCACATTTTGGGTTATTGTTGGCCGTTTAATTACAAACAACGCTTGATTTTAAACTTGAAAATTTTTTTGTTAAAAAAATTGACTTTCCTAGTGTTTTTTATTGATTAAGCCATTTATTTTTTAATATGTTTTCATGGTTTATTATTCTCTGACTATCCAGCTTTAATAAAAGACCAACTATGACGAAATTAAGCCAAATGTTGATTCTCAGTGACCAAAAAACTAACTTAAGTCAAAGTCATCAGTCATGGCCATGTTTGGACACCATTTTGGAGCAGTGCGTTAACTTTTTTTTGTGGGAACATTGGCTTTTTTTTTTTATCACAAGGAACGCAAAGATATGCATTTTATACAGATGTGGGGGAAGGTGCAGTTTAGGGGTCTATCCCACAGACTATAAGGTTTCGAAAATTCTTTAAAGAGAAGTAGTCATTATGATCACATTTGCGTCTAAAACGCCTCCTTGCAGCATTTCTTCTCATTAATTCTCTTATTTCTGGATTAACCCAGGGAGTAGGAGGGCGTTTTAAGATTGAGGTCTTTAAGGGTGCGTTGATTTAGGAATAGAAGAAGATTAGAGGAAAGACATTCCACCATTTCATCATTGGAGATATAGGAATAGATGGGATCTAAGGATTGGGCTACTTTTTCAGAGGTCAAGGAGTCGAGATCCCGCCATGTAATTTACCTGAGAGTGAACTTAGGAGTCGGAACGTTTTAGGAAATCTTGATGAGGTCATGATATGAAATGAAAGAGACTGGATTCTGGGAGGAGAGCAACAAGTTTTGAGAAGATTAAATTAAAAAAAGATCAAGCCATGTACTTGAGAATTGAGTATGGTGAGTAGGTTGAAAAGGAATGATGAATAGGCCAAGAGAATGGATAACATCTACGAGGTATGATTTGTCAGAGGAGTCTGAAGATAAATTGGTATTAAAGTCACCTACTATTATTACATTGTTGTATAAAAGAACGTAGGTAAAAAGGGAAGATTTGAAGGAAGGAGCAAATCGGACATGGGGAGGACAATATGTGGTGACGTAGAGAAGAGAAAATGAATCTGAGGAAATTTCTACCAATAAGTACTCGAAATGGGGAATGTCGGAAGAAGGATACTTGTGGAGAATTTTTGTCCTCAGACGTTCATGAACATAAGGGCCGACACCCCCACCTGTTCGGTCCACTTGGTCATGGCAGATGAGGGTGTAGTTAGGGATAGATATAGAGGAGAAAATATTTGGTTTGGGAAAGGTTTCTGAAACGGTAATAATATGGTAAAAAGTACAGAGGAAATAATCTTGGAATTCATCAAAGTGAGCCAGAAGAGATTGGGAGTTAACATGGGACATTAATAGGATATTAGTCATTTAGGATAAGGAAGGATGTACATCATTCAAAATTTGGAAAGGAAAGGGACAATCATCATAAATGAATGAATTTGAGTTTCTTAAGACCAAGAAAATACAGTAAAACAAGAAAATTTATAGTGAGATTTGTCAAAATATAAAACATTTGCAAATAATACAAATGAAAGACTGTTAACACTAGAAAAAAAAAGATACTTGTTGGTAAGGAAGCCTGGATGAAACCTCCCTTGTTATCTAATGTTACCACATAATCTCCTGAAAGCTTTGAGTTATTCCATTGTTTATTTTTGTTCAACTTGTTATTTTCGTCAAATTATGGATGTTATAACATTCTGGGGTATACATGTATATACATACATATATTTATGTAAGTGTGTATATACATACATACATATATGTATATACATACATTTAATCATTTATTCAATATTCGTATCACTTATAACAAAAAAAGTTTCTATAACGAAAGGAACGTAGTTAAAAGGGTCTAGGATATCATTTTTAACGGCTTTAAAATTTATTTATGGGTGGTCCCATAAATTAATGTGAGCAATGGATGTTTGGTGGAGTTTGCTGAGAAACAGATGAGTGTTTTATCTTTCGTCGTTCTGGGAATTACATTTGTTTTCATCTATTTAATATATATGTGTTGTAAAATAAAATTATTTTTTTATTATTACATTTGTTTTTGTTTAAAATTTCAATAATATGAATACGATGGTAGGAATTATGAGAAGCCTTATCAGAATTATCAGTGTTGAGGTTATAAACATTGGCAGATAGCAGTCGGTCCTGTCCGGCTAACCAACAAGTACCAAAAAAAAGAAGTAAGAAAATAAGAATAAAGACTAAGTGCAGATATGTACAAAAATAAGAAAAGAAATAATCTAAACGAACAAAGTTCTGAATATTCTAGTCTAGTTAATAAAGAACATAAAATAATATTCCTTGTAGAGAAAATTAGATATTGAGGAAGATATAAAAAATAAATACATAAAAAAATCATAATAACTACGAAAAAAAACATGAGGCAGAGCGATGACTATGAGATTTCCGTCATTGAAATCCGTCAACTAAATCTGGCCTTGTTGATGATCAGAACCTGCAAACAGTTGTCTTTTCGGGATCTGACAAACCCTCTGGAAAATCAAATGTATTTGATTTGTCCGGCAGCCTTTTCCGGTTGCTTGTGTTCATTTCTTTCCCGATGTAGATCCTTTCATTGCTCTCCCAGCCGAGATGCCTGATGGTGAAATCTCTTTTTATCCTTCGAAGTCGTAACACCTTGTCCCAGATCGTCTGGCAGACGAAACGCACGACGATCGACAGTGACCGTATGTCCTCTCCTCTAGGACGCTTTCTTTCCACCAAGTCGAGGTCCTCTGAATTAAGCTTGATACCCTGGGCCGTCCCGACGGACAAAACTATCCCCTCTGACGTTTCCACGGTACTCATGGGGATCCCTCTTTACTAAATCAAATGAGAGAGCTGTGCTTGTTCTACAGTTTAGAGTAATTTCCATATTTTTTATTTCTGTTTTGAGGCTGTTATTTTCGGCTAATATATTTTCAATTAAATCTTCCTGCCTTTTGAATCATTCTTCCATTGATTTAAGTCTTTCTGAGTTTTTAAAAGACAAACTTGTTTGTTATAAGGTAGTTTTCTTCTGTGCTGGTACTAGGATTACCCATATACTGCTTTGTTGTTTTCAATTGTTTGTCGCAAGTGCAACAGCATCATTATTTTTTTTTAATGTGTCAACGTCGGTCATATTTGCATATTTACTATGGATTATATTTTTGTGGTTGAAGCATGTTCGGGCGGTTTTTTCTTTCCTAGTTACTGCTAATTTACATATTGGACATGGCAATATGTGTAATTGAACTAAAGGCAATGGAGCGGTAGAGAGAAGAGTGGTGGGGAGCGATACTATCGGTGGGGAAATCAGAGAGTAAGACCCTTATCAGTGCTCAGTCTAATACTTAAGTCTCTTTGTCTACGACAGTAGACTATTTGATGCAGTATTATCCACAAATCCTGTAAACATGCCTCTAAGTATTTCTAAAAAAGTGATAAATATATTACTCACAAAATATAATTCCTGAGTACACTATCAAGATATAGATCAAGATATCAAATAGACACAGAGGAGATGCTCACTGATTGACGGCAGAGGCCTGATAGCAATGCTGGTTATTGATGATTTCATGGATAAATGTTGGATTCTTTTTTATTTGTATTTTTCTCAAAATAAATTATATCAATAATACTTTTAGTGATAGTAGATAATTTTTTTTTATGGTTCAATTTTCTATTTTTTTTTTTTTTTTTTCCATAGGAGTGGAAACAAGAGATTGATGAAACTGATCAAATACTAAATAATAGTAAAACTCTGTCAGATTCTGCAAACTTTTATCCTGAAGTTAGGAGACCTGTTAACAAAATTGAGGTGAGTACCTAAATATTGTTTCATTTTAGTACATTTTTTAAAATGTTAAGAATGTGTAATTATTATTTTATTAGGTATATTTGAGTAAACATGTTTAAAAAAACCTTGAAGTCTACGAAAATATTTCTGTCTATTCCAAGGGATGTATATTTACTTAAATGCATTAGTGGGTCGTCAGTGAAATTTACATACATGAATATTGGAGCTTGGTGTTGTAATCAGATACGTCCCAAATCCTAGCAAAACTCATGAATCTTTTGGCTATATATGATTTCTTTTTTTACTTTGCTACCTGTACTAGCTAAGTCAAATTTCCGATGAGCAGTTTATGACGGATCTGTATGTTTCACAGCCTCCTGAGTCCGAAAAACACATTCTCAGCAATTGTTCTATCTGTCTGTGCCAAGATCTCGGGAACTAGCTGACCGATTTTGTTGCTTCTTTTTTTATTTTGTAGGGTGTTGACTACTGGTGCTTGATGACACAAATTGATGCTCCCTGCGCAATAAGTGAAAAACATATTTTTCCATAGACTAGTGCCAAAAAGTCTCCAACGATTTTGATGAAACTTTCCTATAATTTTCTAATTATTGAATATGTCCTTTCAATTTTCGTAAATCTACTACATTCCTGAGAAAATTCAGGAAATGAGTTATACCGAAAAGAGACATTTTTTGGGGCCTACCTCGTTAAGTATATATTCTATGGTAAAATGTACATAAAAACTTTGGAAAGATATTAAATTACCTACCTAACAAAAAATATTTCATTGGAATTGAAGCAGTACTAGAGAAGATACAGTGTATTCTATTTTCTACACATGTTTTAATTTATTACTTTTCTACCTGTACTAGGTAAGGAAACTATTGCGATCAAGTAAAATTTCCGATGTGCGGTTTTCGACGGATCTGTAGGTTTCACAGCATCCTGAGTCTGAAAAATACATTTTCAGCCTGTTTGTTTTTTTGAAAGGTGAAATGAAATGAAATAATAATTTTATTTTGGGACTACAGACCCCTTAGAATAATAACAGAGTTAGATAATTAATAATATTAGTCTGGCTTAGACGAATACAATATGATGCCTAATTAACTGTTGATTGTTATTGCAATTGTGCAGTTGATTTAAACTGTGTACAGGCGCAAATAAATTTTACATGTTTGAGGAAGTTTGAATATGGAGTAGGTGGTGGAAAAGGAGTTGTTTGAAGGAATATGAGGACGAGAATTGGACTGGGTGAAATAATGGGAGCGGAAACCAGATTGTAAGGTGATGAAATTCCCTACAAAACCATTTAAAAATCATTCATTTAGGACAACTATTAACAAAGTTACAGCTGTTCAATTTCGTATGTAATAAGATTATGATTTCAAATCCCGGTGCCAGGAAGGGGTGAAAGAGAAAGAAAAAAGTAATGAAGTAAAAGTGCTGGTGTCCCCATTACACAAGTTTCATTATTTCTTCTATTTTAATGGAAATTCTTGTCTGACAAAATTGGGTTATGGCAAAAAGTTTTTGATTAGCAATACTAGAGTGTTTTTTATTTTTTGCCCTGATCTGCCACAAGCCAGTTTACACTGCTTTAGTTTATCAAAGAAATCATACTCAAATCTTTTCTTTGATAAATTTTCAGATATAAATTGACATATTTAAATATATAAAAACTTTTCTGAAATAGGGCCTCTTTGAGACGTTCAGTGCCACTGATGTTGTTGGAAAAAAAAGAACCTGTTTAAAAAAATGACACTTCAGTTAGGAAATGAGTTTTAAATAACATATCCAATAAATTTTTAGTAACCTAATGTTTGAGTAATTAACTAAATTTCATACTTTTCTCCACGTAATCAAAACATCTTTCACAGACCGGATTGGAGGCAGAAAAGGGGCGGATCTGACCTGCTGGCCATAAATTGGAGACCCCTGCTGTAGGTAGAGGCAACTGACTACTACACCAAGTATAAATTGGAGACCCCTGCTGTAGGTAGAGGCAACTGACTACTATACCAAGTATAAATTGGAGACCTCTGCTATAGGGAGAGGTAACTGACTACTACACCAAGTATAAATTGGAGACCCCTGCTGTAGGTAGAGGCAACTGACTACTACACCAAGTATAAATTGGAGACCTCTGCTATAGGAGAGGCAACTGACTACTACACCAAGTATAAATTGGAGACCTCTGCTATAGGGAGAGGCAACTGACTACTATACCAAGTATAAATTGGAGACCCCTGCTGTAGGTAGAGGCAACTGACTACTACACCAAGTATAAATTGGAGACCTCTGCTATAGGGAGAGGCAACTGACTACTACACCAAGTATAAATTGGAGACCTCTGCTATAGGGAGAGGCAACTGACTACTACACCAAGTATAAATTGGAGACCCCTGCTGTAGGTAGAGGCAACTGACTACTACACCAAGTATAAATTGGAGACCTCTGCTATAGGGAGAGGTAACTGACTACTACACCAAGTATAAATTGGAGACCCCTGCTGTAGGTAGAGGCAACTGACTACTACACCAAGTATAAATTGGAGACCTCTGCTATAGGGAGAGGCAACTGACTACTACACCAAGTATAAATTGGAGACCTCTGCTATAGGGAGAGGTAACTGACTACTACACCAAGTATAAATTGGAGACCCCTGCTGTAGGTAGAGGCAACTGACTACTACACCAAGTATAAATTGGAGACCTCTGCTATAGGGAGAGGCAACTGACTACTACACCAAGTATAAATTGGAGACCTCTGCTATAGGGAGAGGCAACTGACTACTACACCAAGTATAAATTGGAGACCCCTGCTGTAGGTAGAGGCAACTGACTACTACACCAAGTATAAATTGGAGACCTCTGCTATAGGGAGAGGCAACTGACTACTACACCAAGTATAAATTGGAGACCTCTGCTATAGGGAGAGGCAACTGACTACTACACCAAGTATAAATTGGAGACCCCTGCTGTAGGTAGAGGCAACTGACTACTATACCAAGTATAAATTGGAGACCTCTGCTATAGGGAGAGGCAACTGACTACTACACCAAGTATAAATTGGAGACCTCTGCTATAGGGAGAGGTAACTGACTACTACACCAAGTATAAATTGGAGACCCCTGCTGTAGGTAGAGGCAAATGACTACTACACCAAGTATAAATTGGAGACCTCTGCTGTAGGGAGAGGCAACTGACTACTACACCAAGTATAAATTGGAGACCTCTGCTATAGGGAGAGGTAACTGACTACTACACCAAGTATAAATTGGAGACCCCTGCTGTAGGTAGAGGCAACTGACTACTACACCAAGTATAAATTGGAGACCTCTGCTATAGGTAGAGGCAACTGACTACTACACCAAGTATAAATTGGAGACCTCTGCTATAGGAGAGGCAACTGACTACTACACCAAGTATAAATTGGAGACCCCTGCTGTAGGTAGAGGCAACTGACTACTACACCAAGTATAAATTGGAGACCTCTGCTATAGGGAGAGGCAACTGACTACTACACCAAGTATAAATTGGAGACCTCTGCTATAGGGAGAGGCAACTGACTACTACACCAAGTATAAATTGGAGACCCCTGCTGTAGGTAGAGGCAACTGACTACTATACCAAGTATAAATTGGAGACCTCTGCTATAGGGAGAGGCAACTGACTACTACACCAAGTATAAATTGGAGACCCCTGCTGTAGGTAGAGGCAACTGACTACTATACCAAGTATAAATTGGAGACCTCTGCTATAGGGAGAGGCAACTGACTACTATACCAAGTATAAATTGGAGACCCCTGCTGTAGGTAGAGGCAACTGACTACTACACCAAGTATAAATTGGAGACCTCTGCTATAGGGAGAGGCAACTGACTACTACACCAAGTATAAATTGGAGACCTCTGCTATAGGGAGAGGCAACTGACTACTACACCAAGTATAAATTGGAGACCCCTGCTGTAGGTAGAGGCAACTGACTACTACACCAAGTATAAATTGGAGACCTCTGCTATAGGGAGAGGTAACTGACTACTACACCAAGTATAAATTGGAGACCCCTGCTGTAGGTAGAGGCAACTGACTACTACACCAAGTATAAATTGGAGACCTCTGCTATAGGGAGAGGCAACTGACTACTACACCAAGTATAAATTGGAGACCTCTGCTATAGGGAGAGGTAACTGACTACTACACCAAGTATAAATTGGAGACCTCTGCTATAGGGAGAGGCAACTGACTACTACACCAAGTATAAATTGGAGACCTCTGCTATAGGGAGAGGCAACTGACTACTACACCAAGTATAAATTGGAGACCTCTGCTATAGGGAGAGGCAACTGACTACTACACCAAGTATAAATTGGAGACCTCTGCTATAGGGAGAGGCAACTGACTACTACACCAAGTATAAATTGGAGACCCCTGCTGTAGGTAGAGGCAACTGACTACTACACCAAGTATAAATTGGAGACCTCTGCTATAGGGAGAGGCAACTGACTACTACACCAAGTATAAATTGGAGACCTCTGGTATAGGGAGAGGCAACTGACTACTACACCAAGTATAAATTGGAGACCCCTGCTGTAGGTAGAGGCAACTGACTACTACACCAAGTATAAATTGGAGACCTCTGCTATAGGGAGAGGTAACTGACTACTACACCAAGTATAAATTGGAGACCCCTGCTGTAGGTAGAGGCAACTGACTACTACACCAAGTATAAATTGGAGACCTCTGCTATAGGGAGAGGCAACTGACTACTACACCAAGTATAAATTGGAGACCTCTGCTATAGGGAGAGGTAACTGACTACTACACCAAGTATAAATTGGAGACCCCTGCTGTAGGTAGAGGCAACTGACTACTACACCAAGTATAAATTGGAGACCTCTGCTATAGGGAGAGGCAACTGACTACTACACCAAGTATAAATTGGAGACCTCTGCTATAGGGAGAGGCAACTGACTACTACACCAAGTATAAATTGGAGACCCCTGCTGTAGGTAGAGGCAAATGACTACTACACCAAGTATAAATTGGAGACCTCTGCTATAGGGAGAGGCAACTGACTACTACACCAAGTATAAATTGGAGACCTCTGCTATAGGGAGAGGCAACTGACTACTACACCAAGTATAAATTGGAGACCCCTGCTGTAGGTAGAGGCAACTGACTACTATACCAAGTATAAATTGGAGACCTCTGCTATAGGGAGAGGCAACTGACTACTACACCAAGTATAAATTGGAGACCCCTGCTGTAGGTAGAGGCAACTGACTACTATACCAAGTATAAATTGGAGACCTCTGCTATAGGGAGAGGCAACTGACTACTATACCAAGTATAAATTGGAGACCCCTGCTGTAGGTAGAGGCAACTGACTACTACACCAAGTATAAATTGGAGACCTCTGCTATAGGGAGAGGCAACTGACTACTACACCAAGTATAAATTGGAGACCTCTGCTATAGGGAGAGGCAACTGACTACTACACCAAGTATAAATTGGAGATCCCTGCTGTAGTGTAGTGGGAGGTAACTGACTACTACACCAAGTATAAATTGGAGACCCCTGCTGTAGGTAGAGGCAACTGACTACTACACCAAGTATAAATTGGAGACCCCTGCTGTAGGTAGAGGCAAGTGACTACTACACCAAGTATAAATTGGAGACCTCTGCTATAGGGAGAGGCAACTGACTACTACACCAAGTATAAATTGGAGACCTCTGCTATAGGGAGAGGCAACTGACTACTACACCAAGTATAAATTGGAGACCCCTGCTGTAGGTAGAGGCAACTGACTACTATACCAAGTATAAATTGGAGACCTCTGCTATAGGGAGAGGCAACTGACTACTACACCAAGTATAAATTGGAGACCCCTGCTGTAGGTAGAGGCAACTGACTACTATACCAAGTATAAATTGGAGACCTCTGCTATAGGGAGAGGCAACTGACTACTATACCAAGTATAAATTGGAGACCCCTGCTGTAGGTAGAGGCAACTGACTACTACACCAAGTATAAATTGGAGACCTCTGCTATAGGGAGAGGCAACTGACTACTACACCAAGTATAAATTGGAGACCCCTGCTGTAGGTAGAGGCAACTGACTACTATACCAAGTATAAATTGGAGACCTCTGCTATAGGGAGAGGCAACTGACTACTATACCAAGTATAAATTGGAGACCCCTGCTGTAGGTAGAGGCAACTGACTACTACACCAAGTATAAATTGGAGACCCCTGCTGTAGGTAGAGGCAACTGACTACTACACCAAGTATAAATTGGAGACCTCTGCTATAGGGAGAGGCAACTGACTACTACACCAAGTATAAATTGGAGACCTCTGCTATAGGGAGAGGCAACTGACTACTACACCAAGTATAAATTGGAGACCCCTGCTGTAGGTAGAGGCAACTGACTACTACACCAAGTATAAATTGGAGACCTCTGCTATAGGGAGAGGCAACTGACTACTACACCAAGTATAAATTGGAGACCTCTGCTATAGGGAGAGGCAACTGACTACTACACCAAGTATAAATTGGAGACCCCTGCTGTAGTGTAGTGGGAGGTAACTGACTACTACACCAAGTATAAATTGGAGACCCCTGCTGTAGGTAGAGGCAACTGACTACTACACCAAGTATAAATTGGAGACCTCTGCTGTAGGGAGAGGCAACTGACTACTACACCAAGTATAAATTGGAGACCCCTGCTGTAGGTAGAGGCAAGTGACTACTACACCAAGTATAAATTGGAGATCCCTGCTGTAGTGTAGTGGGAGGTAACTGACTACTACACCAAGTATAAATTGGAGACCCCTGCTGTAGTGTAGTGGGAGGTAACTGACTACTACACCAAGTATAAATTGGAGACCCCTGCTGTAGTGTAGTGGGAGGTAACTGACTACTACACCAAGTATAAATTGGAGACCCCTGCTGTAGGTAGAGGCAACTGACTACTATACCAAGTATAAATTGGAGACCTCTGCTATAGGGAGAGGCAACTGACTACTACACCAAGTATAAATTGGAGACCCCTGCTGTAGTGTAGTGGGAGGTAACTGACTACTACACCAAGTATAAATTGGAGACCTCTGCTGTAATGTAGTGGGAGGTAACTGACTACTACACCAAGTATAAATTGGAGACCCCAGCTGTAGGTAGAGGCAAGTGACTAATACACCAAGTATAAATTGGAGACCTCTGCTGTAATGTAGTGGGAGGTAACTGACTAGTACACTATGTTTTAATCTTGATGGATTTCAACTTTAACAACCCACCAATGACTTTCGATGGATAGTTATTTATTTAATTAAAATTTTATTGGTAGTTTTATTTATTACTTATGATATGTTATGAAAGCAATTTATAAAACCCGATTGATTTGAATATTACAAAGGTATTTTGAGCTCATATTGTTCCAAACATTCATGGAATCTCATTGAGTAATTTTAATTATATAATTTAAAAATCAATTGAGTGTTTTGCTTATAAAATCATTTCATAGCTGTAAATGTATAAGCTAAAAACATTTCCCATTTTGTGGATATGCCATAGTCTGGTAATAAAATCATTTTTATTTATTAACTATTGTTATTTATATATATTACTTTGCCTCTTACAATTACAATGTTCTGTTATAGAATGAAACAGTAAAGGAGAATTCAGAAAAAAAGAAGATCACAATGACAGATTACAACCAGTGGGAAAAATTTGATGCTGATAAGGAATGTTTGAAACTCGATCTTGAGGAAGAGAAAAGGGCTGAAGAGAAACAAAGGAGAGAACTTGCAGAAAAGAAAAAGAAAGAAACTGAGAGTAATCTCTCCCTCGAGGAGAAAGAGATTCAAGAAATTGCTCTAACAGCTGGTAAGCTTAATGATATGTTGAATTAGTTCTTGTTATATCCATTTTTTATAATTGTTTAATATTTTTTAAAGATTTTGTATTATTGTCTTCGAGGTCTCTTGTTTCTTTCTTCAACTATCCTCAATCTTTATTTTTGTCTTGTTTGGTTGGAATAGCAGGCCTACATCACTATGTAGATTATTCCTCTTCGTTGTATGTTGATAATTATAGGTCATGCTTAAAGCCAGTTTTAATGATCATTTTAAACATTCAACAATAAAAAATCTTAAATTTTTTTCATTTAAAAAAGAAAACACCTCACACGGGCTCATTATCGCGTATGGGGAGCATCCCACGGGTGGCGGATGCTAGGATGGTCGGTGGAAATTCCTTGAAAGTTCCTCCCGGCTAAGTCCGATGGACTCGCTGACCAACAATGAGAGGGGCCCTCCAGCAAGACTTGCTGGAGGTAGGGGCCCACCAGACTTGCTGGAGGGTGTGACGTAGGATTGAACACCCTACTCACATATCTTTAGTTCACCAAACACCACAAATAGTCATGGATCTCCCTAAGGTAAAACGCTCTTTATCCGGAGGTAAACTAGTCCCCCGTTTGGGTCTCCGGGTGGGGACTGCTTTAGGAGATTCATGGCGCAAGTTGAAATATAGGGGGCTAAAATCGGTCGCGAATGAGGTAAATGGGTACAATTTGGATGTCATGGCTCTGCAAGAGGTTCGCTGGCCAGGGGAGGGCTCGATGAGGGAAGGAAAGTACACTATTTGGTACGGAGGAAGCGGGAATCATTGTTTAGGTACCGGGTTTCTAATTAGGAGTAGATTACTATCCGCTCTGAGGGACATACAATTCTTTAGTGATAGAATTTCGGTAGCTATATTTCAGGGACGTTGGTATATCGCATTAATAAACATACATTGTCCGACCGAAGACAGTGACGATGAAGTCAAAAGTGAATTTTACGATAAACTCGAATGGGTTTATGACAAACTACCGCGAAACTACATGAAAATAATTGTAGGTGACGCGAACGCAAAGGTAGGAAGGTAAGAAGTTTATATTCCGACGACTGGTAAAGAAAATTTGCACGAATATAGTAATGATAATGGGATCTGTCTGATTAACTTTGCCATCTCGAAAAACCTGATAATTAAAAGTACGACGTTTAAACATAAGGATATTCATAAATATACTTGGACGTCACCGGATTCGCAAACACGAAATCAAATCGATCATGTCTTGATACAACATAGCTGGCAAAGCAGTATAATTAATGTACGGTCTTATTACCTTCAATTTTTTTTTTTTTTTTTTTTTTTTTTAATAATTAACCATTTCACGTTGTAACCTGGTGTAGCTGCAACAGATTCCCGCGGCAACAGATTCTCGCCTTTTACTACAGGTACATCAAGTTCGTCTACCCGAAACCAGGCGGCGCCCTACAAGCTCGCCTGTGCAATATACTAAAATTGTATCTTTTATTTCTTATTGTTGTATTGTTAAATACTCAAATTGTAAATTGGAATATGTATACACATTGTAAATGATTTTTATAATAAAGTTTAATGGCGATACCATATACTGATCAAAGCTCAAAAATAACTGTTATTGTAACGGCTGTTGGTAGTAGGTTTAGTCTCGGCGGAATGAATACCTCAGTTAACTCTCAAATTGTCAGATCTACGGATCTCCACCCCTTCAGGGTGTAGACCTTTACGCAGACGGTCAGTATACGTCTCATATACAGTTTTGGTTCAACTTAGTCTGCTCTTGTTATTTAACAATATCCTGATACCTTTTACCTCTTTCTTATTCCATGCAAGTTGGATGCTTATCCGTTCGCTTGCAGTCCTATATACTGAATCTTTATTAGTAGCATTATTGTCGGACCAAGAATTTTGTGACACTTAATTGTTTATTATAATCAAATAAATAATTGAAATATATAGTTTTAAAAGGAAATGGCTCGTGTCAAACAAAATAAATAAAATATATTAATGAAGAGAAGGATGATTGTGGTGATCAGTCAGAAATAAAAAGGCAAAAATAAATAATAATATTTATTTTAACATTTGCCGACGTTTCGACCTGAAGTTCTGGCCTTCATCAGGGCTAAGAAAAGAACCAGATCACAGGTATGAGAAACATAAACAATGTAGGTAAAAAAATATTAAAGTAAAATGAAGTGGGTAGAATGATGACAATAACAAGAGAATTTAGATTAATAGAATCTTTTCTTTGGTTTGTATTTTATTGTAAGATTACCAATTTAGTACTTATGTCACCTTATTTTGATTATGTTTACTTCATTATTCCACACTTTGTAACAGTTATTATTATTTATTTCTTAGCTCTTGTTATTGTCATTATTCTACCCACTTCATTTTACTTTAATATTTTTTACCTACATTGTTTATGTTTCTCATACCCAGTTATCTGGTTCTTTTCTTAGCCCTGATGAAGGCCTAAACTTCAGATCGAAACGTCAGCAAATATTAAAATAAATATTATTTATTTTTGCATTTTTATTTATGACTGATCATCCCAACCATCAACCCACAATTATAAAATATATTAGATGGCTATGAAAAATATATAGTAATTAGTTGTTTAAACAATGTTTCATACCGTCTATAATTTTTACTTTCACTTTCCTTTGTCTGAAAATTCTTATTTCTGCTAAGGAGAGGGTAGTAAGTTAAAGTTGTGTTATGCACACACCACACCACATCTGATTTTTTCAAAATTAATTGTAACTTTAGTTTCTGTTGTAGCTGTAATTTGTTTTAGTTTGATTAAAATAAATGTAGCTCTTACCTTAATTTGTTCTTCTGACTAATAGAGAAGTTTATAAAACCACTTAACTAGTTTTTTTTTTTTTCAGATGGTTTAAGTCAAAAAGAACGTAAAGTGATGGCGGGTAAAGAAAAGGAATTAGGTAATGAATTTTATAAACGCAATCTTTTTAACGAAGCTATCAAACATTACACCAGATCGATCTACCTCTTCCCCTCTGCAGTTAGTTACAACAACAGAGCTGCTACCTGTAAGTCTTGTTTTGTATTTGTACATACTATTCCACCTGTATTAATATACATAATAGCCCTTGAGGCGCAGCCTAAAAATCGACCTGATCACAGGCGTAGGTTCGAATGTAAATTACGAAAGCATATGTTATTCTAAGTAAAATGAACCTTGTCTGCCATTCCAGAGCCACTGCTTTCAAAAATGGCGGCTGATTTAAAGAATATCAGGCCAGTAACTTAAGGATTGAAACGGTAAATATATTACAAAAAATATAAGAAAAGTTGTTATTTTTTTAACTTATGTATATGGATTCGAGCATGTTAAATCCTAAGTTTCTAACTTGAGCAACCAAGGAAAAACTTTTTACAACCGATAAAGCCATATTTTTCGATCTTTTTTTGTTTTGTTTTTCACATGCAACTCCTAAACGGTGCATCAAAGCGAAAAATGTACTCTTTAAGGAATTAAAGAACCTTAAATTGTGCATTAAACGAGTACCTAAACTTAATCTAAAAAATAATTTGGTTAAGTGGTATGGTAAAGAATCATGGTCAACAAACGCTGATTTTTATCAAATTTGTCAAAAACTGATACAAATTACCCTAAATAGCCCTGTAGCTTGGAAATGAGTTCACTAAGAGGAAAAACTCATGGAATCAAAAATGTAGAGCATAAAATTGTGCCTCCACTTAGTACCAAAAGTTTTAATGTAGGTTACTTAAACCACACAAAATCTGTAACTCCCGGTGGCTTGGAACTGGTAATGAAGGTATGTGTGATGTTTGATATTTTAGCAGTATGGGTGTTTATTCTTGTTTAGAGCCTGCTATATAGAGGTCTATAGACCTCTTTTCCTTCTTTCAGTAGAATTTTGGGAAACGAAGTGTCAAAGAAATAACAAATCGACCTTCATGAAGAAATAACAAATCCTGATTCAAGAGATATAATTGACCCACATTAAAACTGTTGGTACTCAGAAGACGCAGAATTTCATGCTCAACAACTTTGATTCCATACATTTTTCCTCTCGTGGAACTCATTTCCAAGCTACGGAGCCATTTATACTCTCAGTTTTTAACAGATTTGGTAAAAACTAGTGTTCGTTGCCCGTGGTTTTCTACCATACCACTTGAATAAATTATTAAGTTTAGGTACTTGTTCGATACACAATTTAACATTCTTTAATTTATTAAAGAGTATATTTTTCGCTTTGATGCACTGTTAAGGAGTTGTATAAGAAAAAAAATAATAAAGGATCGAAAAAATATGGCTTTTTCGGCTGTAAAAAGTTTTTCCTTAGTTGCTCGAGTTAAAAATATAGGATTTAACATGTTTAAATAAACCCATATACATTACTTTCATAATTTACATTTAAACCTTAGCCTGCGATCAGGTCAATTTTTGGGCCCTGGCTCCAGGGCTATAACTGATGAGTCAAATACAATTGAATTATGGAAATCTCATATGGTATTGTTCTAATTTCTTCATGGAAACTTCTCGTTATAATAAATCTTTGTTACTAGATATAATTGAATATCTTATAAGTTAAGTTATTTTCATTAAAACAAGCATTACTTATAGCTCAAGTTTTTACTTGCTTATATATTGTAAGGTTACTTTTCCTTCGAAAAGTAAAAAAAGAAGTTTCTGAATCAAATAATATTTATTTTACACAATAATTAATTCTCAGGTTGGGTTGAGACAACAAACACACATCCTCAATTATACAATATAAAAGCATACATTAATTGTACATAATATTTATATGAATTTTCATTGTTTGTCGGGTTCTACTCTTAGCTTTATAACTGTCGTTATTTCTATTTCACTCACCCTGTTCTGTAGTGAATCTTCCTCTATATGCTTGTGTTCAACTTCTACAATCTTCTTTCAATCTTCTATTCTTCCTTTGTTGACACTAACCACTTGTTAACTCACATTTTCTTCTCTGGATCCTCTTTACTAGCCAGCTGGCTACTTTCTGCCTTAACATATGGCACTTGCTTCCCTTCCCATCTGTCTTTGTCCTTTTTTGACAGTAACCCGTGACGTCACTGCCTTCGCCCCATTATTTAAAATCACTATGTAATATTTACATTAAAATATATAGTATTTTTTTTTAATATGACTATGTTTGTTTATTTTTTCCAAGATTTGAAGCAGTGCAAATTTAATAAAGCTCAAGATGATTTGGACATTGTTTTGGAAATGGAACCCGATAATGTTAAAGCTCATTTTAGGCGGGCTTTGACAAGGCAGCACAAAAATCAATTCCAAGAAGTAAGTATTTCTTCCTATTTTGTTTCATTAATTAATATATTTCACTTATGTTATTTTATTTTATAATTTCTTGATTTTTTTTTTGTAAATAGGGGTATTCATGCAATCAATGTTAAGTATTGTAAACCTCTTAAATGTGTTAAAGTCGAGAAACTTATTTAAGAAATGTCTGCTAAATATGGCTGTTAGCACACTCAATTTTAACATGGTCTAGGGTCATGTAAAGGAGTACTAATTTTGTTTGTAAATGCATGGAGAAGGTTATAATTAGATCTTGATGCCGTATTTAGTTCTATATACAAGATTAGTTATGACCAAAAAAAAATAAATAAAAGAAAGGATAAATTAAAAGATATAAAATAATTTTTATTTTTATTTATTTTTTTTATATTTGTTTATTTAGAAATATTATATTCTGTCACATCAAGGACATTTATAATAGTGTTCAGAGAAAGCACACTCACACTCTATTTACAATAAAAAAAAATAATAATAATACAGAAACTTAATAATAATAAATAAAATTAAAATAAATACAATAAAATAAAATAAAAATAAATACAATAAAATAAAATAAATGTAGTTTTTATTAAGTATAGTTTTCTATTGGAATTTTAATTTGGGCTCCTGGCTTTTCTCGCCTTTAATCTCCAAAGAGACAAATATAGAAAATATATGATACTTACCTGTAATATTTTCATCCTAACGATCTCTCTCGCTCTCTCTCCCTCCCCCTCCTGTTTTATATTGTGTATGCTTTGAACTACTCTTTCTCATTTATTTTTACTCTTAGTAATGCACTTTTTTTTTTTTTCAAAATGTATAAGTGCAAAAACTCAAGCTATTGCTTATTTTTAAAGAAGGGGTATCATGTTATGTTCTTTTCAATGCATGCAGTGTATTCATTTTGTTTTTCTCTGAAATAAAAAATACAGATTCTTTCTAGGCTGTTTTATATAATTATCCATTATTTTTGTATAATGACGCTATTTGTTTTAATGATATTGTAACTTTCTAACAAAACTCTGCTTTCATTTTCTCCATCTTAGTTTATTTTTGTTATTTCTTCAGGCTCTTGATGACATTCTATTTGTGCTGAAACATGAACCAAATCATGTTATTGCTAAACATATTGCAAATGAACTGCGAGATAATTGTTATAAAATTCCTAGAACTCATAAGTAAGTTTTAAAAAATTATTTTCATTTTTCGTCTAATTATTATTTAAATCTTGTAACATTTATGTTTTTTAATTAATCAGCTTGTTATTTTATTTAAAGGCATTGATTGATAACAATTCAAGTTAACTACTTTGACTTATCTATAATGAATTTAGATATTTTTTATTTTTATATTTGATGTTATAAATTTCAGAATTAGAACATATAATGAAAAGGACCCAACAGAAATAGTGGAAATCGAAGTTACTGATAAGGAATTTAATGAAAAGTACAAAGATAAAAAAGAATATCTGTCATTAAATGATTTTAATCTTCCTAAAATTATGTGCAATTGTAATGGTAAGCATACTAATGATCCTCTGCTGTGCAACAATGATCCGCTTCGTTACCAACACATACGTGCCCGTTACGGCGAAAGGGCAAATGATAAAATTGCCGAAATGGAAAGGGCGAGCAAGATGTTGAGGGCTGCTGGTAACAGGACCAGTGCTCCCTCCAAGAACCTCATCAATGAATCAGTTAATAAAGCCAAACCCCTAATTCAGACGACGGACATCACTGAAACCAAACCTTCCGTGTCTGGGGCGAGGCGGTTAGACATTGTCGAACTTGAGAAGATCGAGGAAGAAGAAATGACCTCGAAAATTCAGGACACTCATCTGAACGTTTTGGGTGACAAGTTAGAACAATCTCACAAAGTGGTTACATCTTGCCTTGTTACTGACAAGAGAAAGACAAAATCACCTAAAGTTTATTTTGGCAACTACGAGGAAGGAGATAGTGAAGAAGGTAAGCAAGAAGAAGCAGCTGCTCTTGTTGGAAATTTAGAGGATAATGGTGCATTGCCTAAATCCAAGGAGGAAAAGATGAATATTAACATTAACCTAAAGGAATCGCTAGATATGGGAGGTGGTGGCGACGCAGCTCGAGAGTCCATTGAAGAGCCTATGTTGGTCGATGACAGCTCTCCTTCATACAGCATCCTTTCTGTAGAGGAATCTTCAGTGCCGCAAGTTGAAGCTCCTGCTGCTGATTCTTCGACTGCCAACCATAATGGTTCAGTTAATTATGAGTCCTCGTCCAGTGAAGCAGGGGATGAACTACCTAATGAAATCACTGTCGATGTTCATTCAGCAGAAGTGGTGCAGCATGTGGACTTGAACTCGATTGCAAAGCAGCTTTTTCCCAATGACATTTTAAAGAATTGTGAATGTGGAGAGGGATTTGCGTTATGGCCATCACAATTTGAAAGTGCATGGCTTTCATTTGAAAAAATGTCCAATGCTGTAGAAGAGCGTTGTAAACTCCTACGACTGATCTGTCCTCATCGACTATCAACAGGTAAATGTTAATTCCATTATTCGATATCTTACTCGTTCTTATTTTTATTTTTGGGTCCTCCTTTTTCTTTTATTTTGATAATTAATCTTTTTGGATCTCAGCTCAGTTCTTTTGTTTAGTTAAAGAAGTAGTTTTATGATAAAAAGAAGAAATTGATTTTTTTTTTTTTTTTTTTTTTTAGTAATATATCACAAAAGATCCACTGAGGTCTTTGTAACGAACGGCTTCCCATTCCTCAAAGTAATAATTTATTGGACATAACATGAACATTATTAGTTCTTAATGATGATTCTTATAATTATGGATTAGTGATAATACTTTTCAGTAGGTTTAAAATTACTTCACTATTTAAATTATTTCACATTTTACTTCAATAAATAAAAATAATTAAAGGAAGTTCTAATACCTATAAAAATACCTTCAAAGGTTCTTCATCTATTTTCCTTTTAATGCATTTCAAGAATTTAAAAATCCTCCAGACTGTCCAAAACATCTATTTGTTCATTTTTCAACGTTTCAGACAAGATCATCCATATCAAAAAAGGTTCCTACAACAATCCATATTTTCCATTACCTATGTTTCCACTCAATTATACTTATTAATTTTTACTTATTATTAATTTTGTTTTTGTTAATTAAAATTTATTATGACTCTTAAAAACATTTTTTTTCCTGGATATCATTGTCAAATTTAAAATCATAAAACTTTATTGTCACATTTTTTATACATAACCATCATTATTTTAAATAATATATTTCACTACTTCTGTAACAGTAATTCATTGTTGGTTGAAAATTTCATTCAATTAGTTGTTGTTATTTTTAATGTATGTTCATAAATGGATAAATAGAGGTGTATTTCGGGAATCAAGAGTTTTTTTTTTTTTAATTGCTGAAATGCATTATATAGAACAGAAATTCTCAAACTAAGTAGTATATGCCAGAGATGCTGCAGCAATAATATTTAATGTTTAAATTGTCAATTAGGTGAATAGACATTCTAAAAATTAAAAATTGTATAGTTCTTTATAACAAAAAAATTTTTTTTTCAGTAATAGGTAATACACTCGATGAGAAATTGCTGGCAGGCCTTATTGATTGCTTGGACCAATGGTTTGATCCAATAATTGAAGGAAATAAAGTTCGGAGTTACTTAGAATCGATAGCAAACCTCCAGCGGTTCAAAATCATCTACTGCTTCTTACCTAAGAACTCCAAGCACAGTAAGTTCTAACCTAAATAACAGTTGTTTTTATTCTTAAACGATTTGTATTCTAAGTATTACAGTGATTTTTTTAACTTTTCAGGTGTGCAGGCATTATTGAAGAAACTGGGTCCGATCTCAGGAGAGCTCGAGAAAGACTTTTTATAATTACTAAGAATATTAGCCAATAGGAGCATTATAGAAGCTAAACCATTTCCATCTATTCCCACTTTATTTATTTAATTATAATTTTTGGGATGATATAATGGTTTTTTTTTTATGGTATGCCAACCTATCTTGCCTGTTTTAGGCTTACACAATGTCACCTGTTATGCAGAGGTTATTGCAACATTTAGCCTTGAGCAAAATGTTATTTCAGATATGGTAGACTCTTTTTATCTGAAAATACAAATATTTTCAGTTACTTTTCCTATGAAATGGCATGATATTCAGTATTAAGAAAAGTGGAATGGAGAGAGAAAACTATTGCCAAAGACCTTCTATAAATATTAATTTTTTTTTTTTTTAATTGAATGTATTAATAATACGTAATATAATAAAAAGGGGATAATAAATAGACTCTGGTGTCTTTTAATCCATTTTTGTATTTTAGAACTTTGTAAAGATTTAATTTAAATGATTTCTTTTAGAATTATATCTATTTTATTAATGATTTCTAAAAGGCCATGTAAAAACTTATGTTTTGTTTAAATGTCACCTTTCTCATTTTATTGTTTACCTTCTTTCAAATGACTATTTGAAGTATAGGTGTGGTCTTTAATGATGTGGATAAATGCTTCTTGTTACACGTTTGAACAGCAGATGAATTGCTAACAGATTTGATTAGTCTTAATTATAATATTGATATAAAAAAGTTTTAGTTTATTATGAAGGGTTGATGCCTTCTTACCTTGTTAAGATAGTTGGTATATCCTATTCACATATCAAATTTGTACAGTTTAAAATTATGTTTTCACTTCCTCATTGGACCTAGAAATATCAAGATTGGGCTTTTTTCTTGTTTTTATAATACTTTATTTTATATAAAGATAAAATGATATGGTAATAATAAACAAAAAAATAAATAAACAAAATCTTGATGATTCTTGTATAATGGATTTCTGCTTTACTGTATGAATATCATATATACATTTGACAAATGAATTATGGTTCTGTTGCCCTATTCATAAAGACATTGTTTGACATAGAGTTGAGGCATTTTTGTTTCTTAAATTCATTTTAAAAATTATTTTCAGCATTTTAAATATTAGTTTCCAGAGACCATGTTTTGATGAATAAAAAAAAAATATATAGATATATATAAATAAAGAATGCAATGAAATAGCAAATACGTGCAATTATTTTTATGTAATGTTGTAATTAAATAGTCATTAATAAACAAACAAACAAAAATTATAATAATGTGATAAATAATGATTTCTTAAAGTTAAGGGGAAAAATGTTAGAACTTTTTAAATGTAATCTTGTCATTTTTTAAATGAAAAGCATGAAAAATTTAAAAACAATTTCTTGTAGGTAACCAAAAATGAAAAGATCTAATTTATGTGTTGCATGCTGTATACAATTGTGTAAATTGTGAATAAGTTCGTTTTCATATTAATGGCCCAATTTGGAAAAATATTTGAACAACTGTTTAAAAAACAAAACAGAAAATTAAATATGCAGTAACATATAAATTGAGTCAGTTGTAAAGAAAATCTGGACCTCTGAGGCATGTCTTGATACTGTTTTACAAAAGTAAGATTTTGTCTAACTGTTTTACTAGTTGAAATGTCGCTTATCACAGAGTACAAAAAGATCTTGATTACTTTCAAATTGCTCTATTAGGTTAAAATGACAGTTGGGTTTATTTCTGAGGTCCAGAAATGTGGTTTTACTTTCAGTAAGGGAGCGATAGATTATAATTAACAATTAGTTTTCAATTTTTTAGATCATTTGATCTTCTGACTTGTTATTTATATTTTACGTTTCTTAAAAAAAAAAAGAAGGAAAAAAGTCAATAGGATAGCTTTTTATTTAAGATTTTTACCTTTATTTTTAAGAATTGATGGCAGCACTTCCGGATTATCGATTCATTTTTCTTTCTTTACATTGCTCTAGTTACTCTTTAGCCTTTTAAATATATACCATTTTAAAATGAAAAGATAAATAATTATCTATTTCTGTCATCCTAATAGACTTTGCTTATCCTTATTTAATTAATTTTTATCACCAACTTTAAAGTTATTTGTATTTCTGAGTGTATGATATTATTATCTTATAATCTGTCTTGAACATTAGCATTGTTTTAAAATACTTTTTTCTTCTGTCATTGAATTATTTTAAAGTCAGGCACTTTTACCAGAAGGAAACCAGTTAACTCTTGCTAACTCAAATTTCGGGAAAATGATAATTGAGATACATTTAGTAGATTGATATCACAGGATTTGACTTAAACTTTGATAATTGAGATACATTTAGTAGATTGATATGACAGAATTTGACTTAAATTTTGATAATTGAGGCTATGTTTTTAATAATTCTGGCTTACACCAAGTTATTCAAGCTGTAAATGTCAGTAACTTGTTACTTCGTCTTGAAGAGCTTAAGTTTTCTCAAACATTATTTTAGTGATAGCCTCATATTTTTTTAGGTTAACATTTGATGTTCTCTCCAGCTAATGAAAATTTAAAAAAAATAAGTTATCAAAGATTTTGTGTTAATTATAGTCGAATATTTTTTATTTTGTAACTTGAAGCAAAGGAATTTAATATATATTTAAAATTTGATAATTAATAATTTCTTTCTCCCTTATCAATTAGATTAGGTTACTAAACTTGAACTTATTATTATGCTACTTATTTTTCAGTAGAATATGTTTCGATTTGGCTTTATTTTCTACGTATGAATGAATTTGTTTATCTTTTAGAGATTGGTGTTAATATTCTTGGATTAGTGATAATCATTTTTTTCTTAAATCTAACTTTTTCTGACTGGACCAGCTATGATTATAATTGTTAATAATTAGTTTAGGTTCTACCTTGAAAGAAACTTAAGTTGCAGACACTTACCTCTTGTGTGTTGAGAGAGCACAATTTTGCAGCAGTTACCAGTAGATATTTATCTTAGGCCATTTAAAAATGATATCTCGGGGCTGATTTCATCTTGTTGTTATTGATTATTTATCTAGAAGATGATGGTTGAACCCATGGTAAAAAAACAAATCAGTTTTAAATATTTTATTACTTTTAACAAATTTATTTTTTTAATTTTTACCGCAACTAACATTCAATCCATGTTAACAATATGGATATAATTGATTATAACTATTTTTATCTATGCATGTACAATACTTGTTATCAATGTTATAAATATTGTGTTGATCCTTGGTTCTAATTTTGTCTAAAATATTATTTATTAGTGTTATCAATTTTGCTGGCATTTTTTTTATAATGATTGAATTAAAATAATGGTTTTTCAAACTGAAAATGTCATGAAAAAAAAGCACATATTTTACTATGCTATTTCAGAGATTGATGAATCAATAGTTAAATTATTTAAGTGATTTTTTTTGTAAGATGTTTAATTCTTGTATTTATAGTTTCAATTAATTAATTGATATAATGTTTAGTTGGATATTAAGTTTTATAATCTTTAAAAATAGTGTTTACTAGAGGAATGAACTTCTGATCACTTACCTACCGCTTCTCTCGAAGTATATATCCTACTTTCCAACTAAAATATCCTGTGATGTACACTAATAAGCATAGCATTAAATTTTACACGTGATAAATAGCTAGGACACTTGAATTGAGTTCTTGAACATCTTCAGTACTGGCAACATATCCTGATGATGACTCACAATTTTGGATTGAAACGTCGTGACTATTTATCACAAACCAGTATAATGAATTTTATCATTAATTTTTTAATATAACAACATTGAGAGAGAATGTAAAATGAATTAGAATCTTGAATTTTTGTCTGTTTTATATTATTGCACTAAAATTTAATTTTTCAAGGGTAAATAAAAAAACAAACTGTCTGTTTCCTGTGCTTTATCATAAAGCTCGTAAGTCAATATTACTTTGTGCTAATTAGTTGTTTGATATTGTTGCTGGAAGCCTTTAGTTTATATATAATTTAAAGTAAAGTGAATTAATTCCCATCTTAATTTTTACTGCATTATTTTCTATATATTTGGTAATGAGATGTCAAGAAGCAATAAATAAATTTACACATTATTTTCCTGGAGTTAGTTTGTTGCCTTATCATTGTTTTTATTATGATTATTTTCGTTATAATGAATTGTAGTACCTTGAGTGAGCAAATGTTAACATTAAATTCCAATTATGTATATTAAAATAGTCTTTTTTAAGAAATATTTTCATTAATAAACTGTCTATGTCAAGTGATGAAAACTGAGAGGACTGGTGGTTGGCCCTCACTCACCAGAAGTAGTAGTGCCTCCGTGAGATTTTGATAGCAAAAAGAAATTCCACTTATTTAAATCAAATTATAATCAACTCATTTTTCGTATGTCTGCAAGTCATAGTTTTGTCCAAAAACTAATTATACGCATGCTCATGTCCATTGAAACACACCATAGCAAAAATGTTCATAAAATTGAAATTCGAGCTAGCGAGAGGCTTCCATTTCTTTCCTAATTTAACAATTTTTAAGAATTGTAAAACTGAATTTATGTTAATTACTTTTTAATTTGTGGACTAGTGCCATTTTTCTACCAACCAATTTACAGAATAAAATACTGTTCATGTTTTCAATGAATGAATGAGGAAAGTTCTATATTAAAAAAATTAAAATGCTCACTCAGTTTGTCGTCTCAATTAGCTTAAGAGATAGTTTTTTCCTGTGTATCTTATTAATAATTTTGAAATTGAATTTTTGTGTTGATTTTTGAACTATAAAACCATCTTAGCTGTATCTGCACGTGTATGTAACTCTTGAGCTAATATTTCAACCATTGGTTAGAATAGAATTTGGACTTGCTTATACTCAATATTTCACTTTTTATTTTGTACCTTTATAAATGCGCTCTTGTAACAGACCTGTAGTGTACAATGTTATTCTGTTACAAAGTATTAAATGATGAACTGTTAATGATTTTTTTGTGAAATTGCTCCTATCACATATGAATGTTAAAATTGATTTTATGTAATATTTACATAGATATTAAAAGCTATTTTTACTCAATGTACATCTTTGAAATGAAGGTGTGAGTTGTTAAAATATTTTTTCAATAAACAATGTTGTGAATATTGTGTTGTGTTCTAGCAATCCCTTTATTAAAATAATAAAATCAAAGTGTTTTTTGTTAACAATGTTAATTTTACTTAAAATGCAAGTAAGGTCATTTCCTCCATTTGACCACTGATTTTCTCATTTTTCATGTAAGGATTTATTGATAATTATTCTGTCAGTCTCTAACCTTCATTATTACAATTACAATCGCTGAGAACAATACTATATAGAACAGTAATTAAATGAACAATAATAGACATCTTTCTTAATCTTTTGTTAAAAACTGTCTAAATTTATAATGGTGTCTAGATGTTGTTGAGTAGTAGAAGTTGGTTGGAGATTAAATCAATATAAAAACAACTAAGAAACCTCATTTTATTTTGTCCAAGTTTTAGGGCTATGCCAGGGTGCATTAACAAACTTCAACATCTACTCAAAACTTTACTTAAGATGAATAATGTAGTTAGTCACTTTTGGAAAATGGATCTCATTATGAGATTTCATAAAATCATCTATTAAGGCTACGGTGTGTATTTAGAAATTTTCACATAGTGACAACTTTAATATACCTATTCTTTTGGTATTATGGTGTCAATACATGGTTAAAGGAACTTATTTCTGATAAATAGCAATTTCCTCAGGATGCTTACACCTTTTGTCTTGATGAAGACCTAAAACATGGGTTGAAATGTCAAGCACTCTGCAAAATTAAACCTTTCATATTTGATTGTAATTCAATTTCTGACTGCACTCCCAACCTACTTCTACAAATGTCTACATTTATAATTTTAGAAATTTTTTCACATCATAGTAATAAATAAAATGAAGAACAAGGTAGAATAAGAAAGAGCTATAACGCAAAAGAGTAAGAACAAACATAGCAAAAAAAAAAATTAAACTGAAAATTATAGATCAGACTTAAAACTTTAGTTATATTATATTAAATAAAACAGGAACTCTAAAAAAAAACTCAGTAAATACGAAACAATTTACAGAAACAGAGTAAAAAGCACAGACAGACTAACATCATATTGAACATTTGTAGTTTTAACATTGTTGTTTTATTAATCCATGTACATTAGGATTATTTTTTATTCTATTTTTAATATGATTCTAATTATTAGTAGGAAGTGTTGATTATATACAATTTTTAAAATTATAAATGAAGACAAGAGAAGAAATTGGTTGTGGGCAGACCAGATATGAAATTGAATAACACACAAATAAGGAACCTTGAATTATAGAATGGCAACATTTCAGTCAAAGTCAAAGCTATTTTTTACCAGATACAAAATCTTTATGATAAAATTATGGAAGCTAAAACCGCACTTACCTTCCACTTATTTACCACAAGGTAGCATCTTAAGCCCAATCCTCTATTCTACATACACTTCTGATATCCCTGAGCACCCTAATACCACCATTTATTGCTTCGCTGATGACACTGCTATTCTATCTTCACACAAAAATCCTACTATCGCATTAATTGCCCTTCAAAACCATCTCCATTATCTTGAAAAGTGAAAAATCAAAATAAATAGTAATAAATCCACCCACCGTAGTTTCTCTCTTAGGAAAGCCTCATGTCCACCCATAAGGATTGCCAATAACCCAGTACCTTCAAAAAACTATGTATGGTACCTTGGAATCAATTTAGACAAAAGATTTACTTGGAACATACATACGATATTAAAAAGACAAGAACTTACTAGCCAACTTTCACATCTTCTGGACTACAGATCTTCACTTAACTTAGGAAACAGGAGACTAATCTACAACACCTTACTGAGACCAATGTGGACATATGGAGCAGAATTTTGGGGTTCGGCAAAACAAACACAAACAAAATACAAACAGCACAATCGAAAATTTTACTAAAAATTGTTAAGGCACCTTGGTACATTTCAAATAGTACCATACATAACGACTTAAACACCCCAACAGTAAAATCCTACATCCATGACAAATACACTACATTTCATTCTTCAACCCAAAATCACTCCAATTCTCTGGTTCTTTCTATCTCCTGCTCCCTGAACAATGCACATTAAGAATAAAATGGCCAAGAGACCTACTGTATCGATAAAAACAAAATCAAGCAAATACACCAAGACAGTATAAATACAACAAAGTTGCTAGATGCGCAGGTGCAAATTGCATAGAATATAAATTTAAAAAAATATCCATTTATTATTAATATATTAAAAATTAAATTGAAATTTATTTTATATTCTATATGAATACATCTTGTGCTCACTGAGGGAATTCGGCTCAGGTTGACTTTGAAATCTGTCTCACCCTTCTCAATGGCACTAAAAATCCTGTCTTTAATCTCCATCCAAAAATCGAGCAGACCTGAACCTCAAGTTGGACCTCACCAAAATCAAAAAGGAGGACCACCCAACATATCTTGGAATAGTTCTAGACCCATGGCTTACCTGGAAGAAACAAATAGAATCATCCATAATAAAATCCACAAAGATATTAGCTTTTCATGAAGATGAATGCAGGTTCCAATTGGAGAGCAGACTATCAGACATTGAAGGATCTTTACACTGGGTAAATCTGACCTGTGATAGGATGTGGAATCAACAGCTGGGGAACGGCATCTCAATCAAACTTCAGAAAAATAAACTAAGAGCTCAGAACCAAGTGCCCAGGATAATCACTAGAGCCATTAAATCTACACTAGTATAGGAAATAGGACCTGTCACTGGAGCACCTCCTATGGAAGACAGAAGAGATCTAAAGCTCCTGTATCTTGAAAAAAAAAAAAGAAAGATGCATACAGAACCAACCACTAAAAAAAAAACCGAAATAGAATCAAACCTATATGTCCAGCTCACAAAATTAATAAGTCAATCTCAGAACTCAAGCTCACCTCGATAAACACTGAATTAGTTGAAAAGACAGGCAGCTCACCACCATGGGATTCCCTTTTTAAGCAGGAGATAGTCTTGACAAATCCAGGCATCATGTGAAAGGAGCCCAATGAACCCCAATTAATGAGATAGCTAGCCTCAAAGATGATAAACAAGGGATACCTCTCATCCTCATGGATCCCGATATACACTGATGGATCAGCTGCAGGCTTCACTGATAATGGAGGAGTAGGAATACAAATAGAATTCCAGGATTGTACCACCCTAGACAAACCCATTTCTAGGGGCTTCATATGTACAAATTTTAAGGCTGTGCAGAAGGCTATCCTAAAGGGCAGCGGAATAATGATATAACTAAACATGAATCCAAAAAAAAATCCAATATTGTATTTCTATCAGATACACCATCGAAACTTCTGTTCCTAGAATTCAAATGGAATTCTGTAATCCAGAAGCTAGTTGGAAAAATTAAAACCTTCAACTCCAGTACAAAAGGGAAGTACTCCAATGGATACCCGGGTACTGCGGACAAAATGGGAATGAAATAGCCGACCAGATAGCAAAGGAAGGAGCTGCATCCCCTCAAAGGGACTGCATTGAAACTCTTCAGGTCATCTCTATAAATAAAGCTGCGATATGATAAGAGTAGAATAACACCCAACGAACAAACACAGTCGCAAACAGGATGAGCGCACACCTCTATATGAAATTTAAAATTGGAGAAGTCCTCCATAGCTGTAGGAAAGGTGACCAGGATACAGAACATATCCTGAGCTGGAGGATATCAGGAAGCTAATTTGGCCAAACCCCACTGATTTGGCAATGAATCCCTATGGTGGTCTGGAAGATCTCAGAAAGGTAGTAGAGTTTACACTCTTTTTTATCTGGAACCTCACCATTTGAGGGAAGTTTGAAGAAGAAGTAATGATGAAGGTAAACTAATAGGAAGGGTTAGGGAGAAGAGCAGTCATGAATAGGGAATCTTTGAAGATGACTTTACTGGCTGGAAGTACAAAAGAGAGATCTTATCAGGTCTGATTCTTGCCTAACATATATTTGAAATAACAATGATCCTGGCTTCTTAAGTTAAAAGTTTTTAGTAAGCATCAGCATCCTTCATAACCAAACCAAGCAACCCTTTAAATTTAGACCTCCCAACTAATATAGGATTCCTCAATTTCCTTATCCTCTAGCAAATGAGACATTGAAATATAATTACTATAAAAGACAATAAAAAATATCACTTACCTTTAATAAAGTTATGTTAGAACCTACTATTATCCATCACTACAATTATATTATTTACAATATTGAAATTAATAATCTCACTTTGTATTACATATGAAAGATACTTTTAAAGGAATTCCTGCTTATGAATGATTTTAACAAACCAATGTTCAATTATTATTAATATATTAAAAATGAAATTGAAATCTATTTTATATTCTATATTAATACATCTTGTGTGCTTGTATGCTCTAGCAAATGAGCCATTGAAATATAGCTACTATGATATATAGTAAAAAATATTACTTACCTGTAATGAAATTGTTAGAAGCTGTTATTATTGATTTAGTACAATTATATTATTACAATATTGAAATTAATAAGCTCACTTTGTATAACATATGAAGGATAATTTTAAAGGATTTCCTGCTTATAAATAATTTTAAATAGTTTAATAAATAAATGAAATATCTGTAGCCGAGAGGTAAACAACACCATGATCATTTTTTATTTTTTCAGAGGAGCCAATGTTCCATAATATTGAGCTATTAAAACTTGTTTCTTAGTTACTAAATCTGTGCCCCACAGGTAAAGACAAGTCACATTTTGTATTTATTCAGGAAGCCTATTTTACATAACTTAGAGTTATTAAAATTGTTTTCTTAGTTAACAAATTATTTAATAAATTTTTTTTTTTTTTTTTATATTTGTTTATTTAGAAATATTACATTCTGTCACATCAAGGACATTTGTAATAGTGTTCAGAGAACACACTCACACTCTATTTACAATAAATAAAAAAAAAATAATAATAATACAGAAACTTAATAATAATAAATACAATAAAATAAAATAAAAATAAATACAATAAAATAAAATAAATGTATATAAACAAAAGAACTAACCTA